TTTTTTTTTTTTTTTTTTTTTCCCTGAAAAGATGCAGGGATTAAATTTGAGTTTTCCACCTCCTATGTGGAGGTTTAATACATAAGAGGAATAATAAGAATAATAGTAGTGGTGGCTTCAAACAGGAGCCTGAACCTCGATTAGGGCTGTGAGGGGAAGAGTAGAGCTGCTTGCCTTCAAGAAAACACAGAGAGAGCCTGCGTAGATGAAGCCAGAAATTCTCTTTTCAGAGTTTCTTTATATTGAGAGTGCTAACACCTGTTAAGCAACCAGTTTGTAAAAGCCTGGGCACCTGACTTCAGGAGCCCAGATCTAATCCTTGGTCCTTGGGTCCTAGTCCTTCTTAAAAAATAAGAAAAACAGTTCTTTGCTGCTTTTCAAGGACACTGTTAAAATAAATAGGTAGATCAGAGACTCTCAGGGGATCAGATACTGAGGTAATGTTGCCATGCAAGTATTTTAAGATTTTATCCTACATCCTTGTATCCTAATGATCTCATATTCTTGGCCTTTGAAAATGTCTATCTTTATAGGGAGAAGGAAGAGTATGGAAAAGAAAATGTCAAACCATACACGAAAAAAAATATCTTCAGCCTCTTACATGGCATATACAATAATTACTTCCAATCCTGGTTCAAGTTTTAGTGGCAGCTGTTAAGCTTTTTATAATAAAAGCTTAAGAGGATAGGCATTATGTAATGCCCAATTCCAGGAGTATTTTATGTTCTCTGACATCTCTTGTCATGTTTTTGATAAAGGCTGAGCCATTAGACAAATTCCTGAGAGACTACTTTAGTGCAGTTACCTTCAGAGGTGACAGGAAATATCTATCCAATTTTTCTGGCTAATTTGCCTTAAAAAACTTCATTTAGCTTTCCCTGAAGTTGTGTTGGCTACAATGCGGAAAGAAACAATCAGCACACTGGAAGGGGGTGAAACAACAGCATTCTGCTGTCCAGAAATGGTATTCCCCATGGGAATTAAACCTGGACACCGAGTTCTAGTTTGCACCTCTTCCTGATTTGTCCCTGGAGTCTTTATTGAAATAAAAGGAAGTTGGATTGAAGAAAGTTGGATTAAACACCTGATTATACCTTCTAGCCATTACAAATGCATTCTCAGTATTTCAATTTATGAGGTTTACAGGTAAAAGCCCTGGAAATCAAGATAATTTAAAAAAAAAATTCTGAAAGTTAATTTCCTCACATTTTTTCCAATGTACTATTTGTGAGAGCTTTCTCCTATGAATGTCTTCTCAGTGATTCAGCAAATCTGATCTCCTGATTCTACACAGATCTAACGTTATTTCAGATCATTTCATGACGCCCATCACAATCACTTTTTTCACTGACAGATTGGAAAACTTTCCAGAGATTACATTTTCTCAGTGTCATCCAAAAACTGTCAGAAAGGAGAATTCCATATTCTAAGGTAATTTTCTGTCTACCGGAGGTCATGAACTTACAATATTTAATCCAGAATTTATATAACATTTCATTTCATAATATGCTGGACTGGAAATGGCTCACTGTTTATTTTTATACTTTGAAAGAGTATTTCCCACACAGTGTTACATCTGAAAAGGTTGTCATCCAGTGCAATAAATAGCCGATGCTGTCAAAAATGTAGGTGGAAGAAAGTTTATTTTAATGGGACTCCATGAAGAGTATTTGAGCAGCAGTGCTCATTAGAGCAGCACTGAGCTTATGTTTTCAGAAGCTTGATAGATTGACTATTGTAACATGTCATACGTGTGTGGTTCTTAGGTATCACCAACAGACTGCTACATTATTAAAGACAATTAGAGGGGTGCATTCATGACTTTGAATATATTGCAGTGCAGAGGATGTCTGTATGTACAATACATTGCAGTACACTCCTAAAAGCCTCTTGCGTGCTGACTGTATTATCTCCCACAAAGATGGCCGAAGCACCAGGATTAGTTTTGTATCTTAACTTGGTTCTATTACTGAATGTCTGAACTTATCTCCCCAATATATTTCTTCTTGTGTGAAGTACGTCTGGCTCCCCACATTCCTGAAAATTGTCTTCCAGCACCACCACTGAATCCAGCACATTTCTTGTGCTCCTCTTATCCCACAGGACCCTCAGGAAACACCGTGTGTATCATGTAGAGTCCCCAGAAAGAGTGGAAGGCAGTAATAACCAGGGACACATCAGAAGAAATAACAGGCCACCAAACAGGAAAGTGAATAATACTCGTGACAGGTACTTATACAAAAATAAAAAGCCGGAGTTCTTCAGGACATCCCTATTTGCCTTTCCCCCATTTACGGATTACGGCAAAAGGAGATTCCTGTAAATGTTAACATCCAAACTTCTGCGTAACAATCACCACTTACTCGGCAGCGCACATATTTTTAAAAATATGTATGGTTTTGCTTGTGTTGCATTTCCCTTTAAAAAACTGGCACAGCTCTCCACTTGCACACCACAGCCAGGGCCTAAGCGGGTGGCGTGAGAACGGGGTGCAAAAAAAACCCACCTTCCCCAAGCCTCTCATTTCAACCCTGCCCAGGCCCCACCTCTGGCACCTCTGCATGGGATGTCAATAAACACTACGAGGGCCCGGGGCACGCAGCCCGCAGCCCGGAGGGGCACCAGCCGGGCCTCCTTCCTGCCCGCCCCACACCCGCAGCCTGCAGGGAACCAAAGGAGGGGTACGCGGCTCCCGGGTTAGCGACAGAGACGCTACGCCCGGGCATGCAGGCCCTGAAGATACACCCTCAACCTGGGCACGGAAGCATTACCCCTCTTCTCCCCTCAGAACCCTCCTTCTCCCCTCAGAACCCTCCTTCTCCCCCTCCCCGGCCATGACGGCGGCTCTGTGAGAGGCGGCCGTTTGGATGGTGCCATGTGCCGCGGGGATGGGGGGGGACGCAAGGTAACCCCCCCAGGGCGACCCCCGACGATCGCTACTTGGTATAGCCCACCCGCCTCTCCCCTCCACTGCCTCCTTCTCCGCGCATGCGCACGCGCGGCCGCTCGGCACCCGGCCTGCCCCGCGGGCCGCGCGTCAGCGGTGTGCGCCGGAAGTGGAGCCGGAAGTGGAGCCGGAAGTCTCGTGGCTGCCGCCGTCTCGCGGGAGGTGGCTGCCGGCGGCGGTGTGAGGCGAGCCGAAGCGCGGGAGCCGTCGCCATGACCTCTGCTTTGGAGAATTACATCAATCGTATCCTTCCGGGCGGCGGAAATGTCCCGGGGCTGCCGTCGGAACGGTGGGAAACGGGCCTTCCCTTTCCCTGGCGCCGGTGGGCATGAGAGGAGGCCGGGTGCCGGTGCCCCGGCGGCTCGGTGGCTTTGAGGGCCGGGCGCGCCTGGCCCTGGGGTCCGGTGGCTACAGCACAACCCGGGGTTGGGTGCCGGAGGTGCTGCGGGCATCGGGTACCTGCCGGCCCGACAAGGTGTGGGCTTCCTGGAGATCCCCAGCCCTAGGCCGGCTGCTGTAGGGTCTGTGAAAGCATGGCACCTGGGGCCTCTGGCCTCTTGCAGCCCGCTCCCGCGGCCGGTTGTATTACTTGGGGCCTTCCTGCTTGGCTCTGTTGTTTTCTCTTTACATAAGGCCGGCTTGGCAGGTATAACAAAGGTTACAGGTGAGCCAGAGAAGAGGGTCCCATATAGCCTCCAGTGCTGCAAACCTGATCCTTGCTTGATCTGTGATAAGGTTCGCAATGGGCCTTGTCCCTTAAAAGGCTCTTTGACATGTGTTTCGTTATCAGCTTTACATCATTTGTTCAGAAGCTGTGAGTTAATGTTTTTGGAACCCTTTTCTTGCTATTTTTCACTCCTAATAACCTATGGGCATTTTCAGTTTTATTCACAAACAGACACTAACCCAAAATCATCCAGGGTGATGGATGTGTAATCATCAAATTGGGATAGCCAGACCTTAAGAGTCAGGGAACATAGGATGCCCGACTTAGGATCCCCACTGCTAAGCTGATTTTAAGGACTTAGCTTGAAGTGTTTATAAAACTTTGTTGTTTCAGTTTTGAGGTAGTGCAGTTAGTAATGGGATGAGCGGTGAACTCAAATCTTGAGTCTGTTTTTAATGGTGTTTGTGTATGACTCTCCCTAATTGGGTAAAGTGAAACTTTAAACAGATTGTCAGAAAAAGATTGTCAGAAAAATATACTATGTTGTCAAATGTTACTATCAACTGTGTAGTTTGTTTTTTTTTAAAAGAAATAGAGATAGGCTTCTCTGGCTCTTAAAACTAATATTGTGTATGCATGTTTCAGAAAAAAATGTTAACAGTTCTGTTTCGGATATCTCTAAACATTTCCTTAATGAACTATCAGGTACTGTTGCGGTAATCACTTCTGATGGAAGAATGATAGTGGTGAGACTTGTATTTTTTAAAATTTTATTTTCCCCCATAAAGACTTTACATCATGGCAATAAAGAAACCGTGCTGGCATGCTATCTGTTATATGTCCATACCTTTACAAACTTCTTTTTTTAAAAAAAACTTCATGGCCATTATTTTATGCTGTATGATTTAAACACTTACTGATTCTTGCCTGTCAGCTTTGTCCATTGATAAACTTGTGCATGCAAATGCTTTGATTTTCTGTCAAATGGCTTTTTCTGTAGCAATGCACAAGAAAATGCATTTCTTTTTCTGTTTGGTAATTTGATTTCCATCTAAAATGTTCTCTTCTTTCTGTAAGCTCTTCAGCTTTCTTGCTAAAACAATTTCTTCCATATGGTTATGGAAAAACTTAAGCTGATAGTTGCTGAAGAATTTTTTATGGGATTCTGTTTAAGCCTGAAAAGCTGAGAATTGGCAAACTATTAGACTATATAGTGTTCTGGTTTTATTGCTTCTGTGTTGTTGGTTTGGGTTTGTTTTTTTTCTTTATTCCTCCCATCTCTTGTGTTTTGAGTGTAGCTTAATAGTATGTTCACTGCATGAGGATTATATCTTTCTGTCTGTACTTAGCTTTGTATGGCCTCTGGAGGGAGAAAACAGTACTTTTAGCAGAAAAATTCTAGCTGCACCAAACCTTCTGTCTGTCTGGAGTCAGTCTGGTAAACTTTGTGTTGTGATATAAGATACTTTCTACCAAAAACATTTGAATGGAATTGGTATATATGACTCGTTATTATATGGTTAGATGATATAAATGGTTATTACCACTGTTTGAATTATGGTGTTTTACACGACTTTAAATTTCTTTACCAGTTACTGGTGGTAAATTACACAAATCAGTTATGTTATCATTTTTCCAAATGCATATTGAAGTGGCACAGAAATGTTTCTTTTTGTGTGTTTTGATTTTGGGTTGGTTTTTTTTTTTAATAACTTTATGGAACAAAGCTATTCTCCCTCAAAGAGATACTGCTTAAAGTTACACAATAAGAGTGGTTTCAATATTGTTGACCACAAGAATTTTTTTATTCATTGATTTAATTAGTTATTAATTTGATTTCTTGAGACTTCTGTCCAAGGAAGACTAAAATAATGTAGAAACAGTAAAATTGGTGGTCTGGAGGGCCATCACTGGTTAAAGGGAAACTTTACTTCTTCTAATGCTAAAGATTACTGTAGCTTTTAGAATAAACACTCAGTAGTAAATATAAATACTTTCCTTAAATTGATTGTTGCTTTTAAATTTCATTCTTCAGCTGTTTGTATTTAAGCCTGACAATAAAAACTAAACAGAGCATCTGCTCTCTAGTACCTTAGTATTGCCACCTTGATTAAGATATTACTGAGAGCAAAGATAATAAATTTAAGAGGTAATTGGAGTACTTTGTTTTTGTGTGTTTTTTCAGGGAACACTCAAAGGTTTTGATCAGACCATTAACTTGATTTTGGATGAAAGTCATGAACGAGTGTTCAGTTCTTCACAAGGAGTTGAGCAAGTAGTGCTGGGCTTATACATTGTAAGAGGTGATAACGTGTAAGTATAGCATATTCTTGTTTAAACCTATTAATAAAAATTTAGTGTGTGTGTATATATGTATAATGTATCTGTATGCATCTTAAAAGCCCCAGACATCTTGCATCATTGTGTCTGTGGGTAGCAGTGATAATGCTGTTGAAGCTGAAGCATATCAATTAGCAAATATCTATGCTTCTGTTACAGAAGTGATTGCATTGTAATGTTAAGATTTACTGAGCTGTAAATTAACAGCTCATGTACTGATACCAGTCTAGGAATGGTCAGTATAAAGCTCAGCAGTTTCCTTTCTTCAGTCTAGAGGCATTTCGTAGATGTTCTTTATTCCACTCTGTGAAAGGCAGGATCCATTGATGGAGGAAAAGGTAAAAGAAAAAAAGATGAGATAGAACTTGCGTGCAAGAAATCAGCAATCTGGTGTACGAGGTTGACTTTTAACAGGATTTGTTTAGATGAGATTTTCACAGACAATAGTTCATAATCTGCAACACGCATGAAGGTTTTGGCTTGACACTGTAACAGCTGTTGAAGCTGGTGTAGTGACAGGTCAAACAAATGAGTTGATATTTGATGTAAAATGCCCTGACAAAATGAGAGTAAAAGCTCATTAAAAGTAGCTGATGTGCCAAACATATGGGAGGGTGACAAGAGAAGTGGAAAGAAGGCCTGGTAAGTGGGCCTGTTAGGAAGATCACTTTTGCAGCAGCATTATGAAACTGATAAGAAAAAATGAAATTATTTTTTATGACAACCAGGAAAAGAGCATGTCATGGTGACCAACACGTGAGCCTGGATAGGAATTTTCTAATTTTCTAATTCTAATGGATTTTTCTGTACAAAGAAATGTCAAAACTTAAGATTTATATCTAGGTGTGTTTATCTAACATCATTGAGGAAGGTGATCATTTTCCAAGGCTTTCATCACTTCTGACTTAAGCTTCTAAGCAAAAATAAATAAATTGATAAATGTGCAAAGGTAAGGCTAAGCATGCCTCTCTACCAGTAACCATTCAAATAGTGCAAATGTGTATAAAAAGCCAGATAATTGTTTACCGCTTCACTTTTTCACCACACCAGGCTGTCCCATTACTCAAATATACTCAAAACATTCTTTTATTGAAATTATTCTATTTTTTATAACCTTAACTCGGAAACATATCTGTAATGTATTTGTTAGAAGGAATAAATCTGTATTAATGCAAGTATTAACATACTGAAATTCTGCATCCTTATAGAAAGCTAAGTAACAGTAACTTCAAGATAGGGAACTCTGAGAAAACAGAGAGGCTCTTGAAAAATAAAATAAAAAATACAGTCATGGGATAAAATGCTTCCAGGCAGTCAGTGTGTGTCACTAGAAGCTGGCAGTGAATATGCAGCATCAATCAGAAAAACTCAGTATGGTTCAAAAGCAAGTAAAGGTTGTTAGTAGGAAAAAGAGAACTTCTGTTTTATAAGTGTGTGGTGGATTTTGAAAACCAGGAAGATATTAGTACTAGAAAGTTGTGTGTGAAACTGTAATAAACATGGTGAAGAAAAGCTGGTTAAACCCCCCAAACCTCTTAAGTACACGTTTGTTTTGCTGTATGAGAAGCAGAAAGCCTATCAAAGAGACACCAGGAATGGCAGATGCAGTTTGCTCTTTTTACATATAGGAAAATGAGATCTCAGATGAAAAAGCTGTATTTCTCGATGTGAACTAGAGAGAAGCTTGTGCTTCGATATCATAGACAGTTTTTAAACTAAGGAAATGTTTTAAATTAAAGCATCACTTTGGAAAAAGCTAACAAATGGAGTAGTAATGAGCATCTGGGATAAAGTTCTTTTCACACAAAAATGCTGAAGGGACTCAAATTTGAGCTGAGGTTTCATGCTGGTCACTACAATGCTCAGTTGGCATAAGCAGTTTACATTTGTGTTTTCTGGGCTCCAAGCATAGTGAAATCTAAGCAAGCTACTCAGCTGGCCAGATTCCTGTTTGAAGGCAAGCTAAACTCTTCCCTGTTTCCACTGACTATCGTGGGGACATGGATACCTGTATTACGATGTCTTGCTCTGAAGCTCAGTCTCACCCTAGTCTCTGGCTGTTTGGGTTTTTTTGTAAATACCGATTCGCTGGGAAGAAAAAATATTAAGAAGAAAACTGAAACAGCAGACATTGTCATGTCATTGCTTAACCACCTGGTATGCCACTGTCTTTAGAGGGGAATAGTATGAAAAAGCATGAAGAGCACAAGTGAGAATAACTAGAGGTATGAAATATTTTCTGTCGAGGAAAGGCTGAATAGGCAAGGGCTCTTCAGTTTGGAAAAAGCACCGCTGTAGTGGTTATTAGTTGCTGTGAAATCAGGAGTAGTCAAAGGAGATAGGGAGATAATTGCTACATTTAAATTCCTCTGGTTTTTTGGGTTATTGAAAATGAACAATAATCCAACATGTTATGTATAAAGGTATTTAATCACACACTATAAAAATTAATTGTGGAACTCACTTCTGCGGGATGTAGCAAAGACCAAAAATAGAAATATATTCAGAAAGCTATTTAGTGGATTAATAGAGTGTAGTTTCTAGTAGCTGTTAATTCATTTTGTGGATACAGCCACTAGCTCGTAAGTCTTTGAAGTGGTGAATAGAAGGATACGCCAGCAGGATTAGACTCTTTGTTTTTATGTTTTCTCTGGGTTAGTTCCCAGCCTGAGCCAGTATGACTTCTATTACCTTAACCTTCTTTTCTCTTTAAAGCCGGTTTACTGAGTCCACTAGTGTTTTAGTTCAGGTAAGTCTTAATATAGGATAGGTGAAATACTATATATTGTCCCCTGGATAAACTAATAACATTTTAGTAGGCTTTGTTGTAGGAAATAGTCTTGCTATCTGATGCTGTATGCACTTAGGAATTGCTACAGTTAGACATTATTCTTGAAAAGCTCTTCTCTCTAAAAGGTTTCCAGCTCTTGTTTCAGAGGCTAACCTACTGCCTAAAACTGGCCAGTAGTATTTGGTTCTTATAAACTATACTTTAAAAAAACAAAACACAATCAAAACTTCCTTTAGGCTCTACTTACAGCCATCACAATTTGAAGTTTAAAAGATAGAGCTTTACAATTCAAAAAAAAAAAGGGGGGGGGGGAAAATGTTCTTCACTAACAAGTTAATCAAGTAAGTTAATTTTGTGGCTTTCCAATTTTGTACCAGGGGATTTCAACAAATGATAACCTGTTTTTCATTGCAGTGCTGTCATTGGTGAAATTGATGAAGAGACAGATTCAGCTCTTGATTTGGGGAATATTCGAGCAGAACCTTTAAACTCAGTTGTGCATTGAGAAGATGAAAATGCACAGGGACTTTGTAAATCTTTGGTTGTACAGACCTATTTAACAACATTGATTTTTACAAATTGTGTTTAATTTGTTTCGTCACCAGTTTTTTATTATGAATATGTTGTAGTTTTGCATGTAAATTAAAGTTTCTACGTTTTACTAAAGATGCTTTCATTGAGTTTCCTTTGGGTTTCATGCTGCATAATTTTACTCTAAAATACATATTGGGAAATGCAAGCAATATCAGTGATGGTCCTGATACTGTGTGTACATACCTTGTTCTTAAAATTAGATTAATTCCTAAAGATAAACCAAGGCTTTTTGTGTTAACTCAGGATTATTTAGGGGTAGATTGTGTATCAGTCAATTTAACAATCTCTAAATGTAGCTCTGGCTGTAAGTAGAAAAGTGGTTTTTATTATTATTTTTTTTTTCGGTGTAGTTTAGAAAGCAAGAATGTTTAAAGCTTTCACAAATTAATGACTTTACGCATGTAATAAGGTTTTTTTGTTGTTTATCAAACATTGTTCTCTGGCCCCCAAGACTATACTGGAGATTGGCGAGTTCTTAGTGCCTTACTGCTTGCAGACAAATTAAATTGGAGAAAGAAAGACTTTTGAGCAAGAGCACAGAACCTAAACAATTTGTTTGAAGCCCATTAAATTCCTGACCAACTCATTCTCTAGCTTCTCCTCTCAGCAGCTGTTGCATTGCTCAAAATTTGGGTAAGGTCTATAGAAAGAGAATTGTGTGTTTGCTGATGTGTAACTGTTGTCTTGCTAGAGTGTAGTCTAGAAGACATAGGAGTACTTTAGATAAAGAAATAATTTCTATTGAATGAAATTTGCTTTACTATTGCATAAGGATTGCATGTAACCATGATCAACCTCTTACACACCAGTAACAGCCAAGTTAAGAGGGACAAGCTCTGTGCAGTATAGCATGCTTTAGGCCACATCCTGTTCTCTACCCAGCAGAAATACTGGTACGGTGGCATGAGAGGAAGCTGGTACTATTGGACAAAGTTGTTTTCCGTGTCCTCTAGCCTGCCAAAAGGTCTAATATATGTATGCTGTTGGGGGAGAAAAAAAAAAAGTTATTTTAATGTGCATATTTGGTTTTTTTAATATTGATTTTAATATCAAGGGATTTGATATTTTTCGTTGCAAGTACACTCTTTGGAAACAAAATACATTGAACTGGAGATACTTGTTCCCATGAAGTCTGGCTTTCAATTCCTGTAGCTTCCAGCTTGTTTGCTGAGATTGTTCTTGGTGAGTCATATGAAGCCCAACAAACCTTTTTTGCCTTTATCTGTCTTGTGACCTAGCAAAGTAACGTTTTTTACCTTTTTGTCCACATCTCCACAGGGAATTGCTGAGCAGACAATGAATAAGGCAAACCAGGATTTTTCTGTGATTACTGACTTTCAGTAAAGCCTGGCTATAATTCGTTATGTCAAAAGAATTGATCAGTTTCGTTAAACAGTCAACAAAATCATATGGAATGAAGACCCCTTTTGCTACTGAAACATTTAATACTGGCATAAGAGAAAAGGAGGTAGAGAAAGTGGATTGTATTGATAAAGGACAAATGAAGCAGGTGAGGTAAACTTTAGGGCTACTTAGGGCTCAGCAGAAAAAAATGCAGTGGCAAAGAGTAGAATCAGGATGAGCTGATTTTAAATGTGCTACTTAGCCTTGGATGTATTAGAGTTATAGTTGAAATACATAGGTTGAATACTTGTAGAAGCACTGGAACAACTAAAGAAATCAGTTGCTTTATAGCTGAGGAATTATGTTTGAGGCTGTGTTATGGATTGTGAATGCATATGGAGACCATCAGCCTCGAGCACATCATTGGCAATGCAACTGCTTCGTCTTGTGCTTGGTCGAGGACTTAAAATATGATGAGCTGCTGCTGTTGAAACTATTTTCTCTATCCTGTAAGTGATGATTTCAGATGCAAAGCCATAGAACCAAGGTGGTGAAGCTGATCAGTAAAATCTGGGGACTGACCAGGTGAGAATTCTGTGTAGTTCAGGAATTGCTGAAGCAGTAAAAACATGATCTGGAAAACAGCTTTTCACAGTGAGGTGTTTAAAACACAGATTGCAAACCCTGCCCTCTTTCCTTCAGGTGAGTGACCTCAGCTCGTGCATGCACTTTTTCTGGACCTGTGAAATTGTGCAAGCAGGGTGGGGGCGTTACAGCTTAAAGAAGTTAGGAAGTGTCTCAACTCCCAGGTTGACTGAAACATAGGGTGTTTTCCAAGGGATTGAGAAAGATACATTTAAACACCCTTTTAGAAAAGAATGCTAGCAAAAACTGGCTGCACAAAGCCCAAATGGGTTGATACACAGTGCATTGTCAAATTGATTCTTCTGCAGTGAGGTAGGCAAAGAGTGGCCAGCTCAGTTCTCACAGCTCTGATGGGGACTGTGGGCAGTAGCTCGGCCTTGCCAAGACGCAGCCTGCTCAGAAGCAAAGTTCTGTCTAAAACCTTAAAACTGACAGCTGTGGAGTTTGCTTTACCTTCATGCATAGATACCAGCAATGTGAAGCTTTTCAGAGCTGTGTTTTTTGTCTTACACTCGAATTTTGTTTGAATTTCTGCACCAAATTTTTCTTCAATTTGATGCCATTGGTTTTGATCTGGGTTTGAAAAAAGCATCTTTTGGATGTACTGGTGAAGGGATCAAAGACAGGAGACCCAGTCAGAAAGTCAGAAAGGTTTCTCAGGGTACGTGAAGAGCCCTGCTGAGAGGGTAAGAAAAAGGGGTCATAGTCCATAGTGTTCTTGGAAGCTGTCTTTTCCTGTTAAAAGCCTTGATATAGATAAATAACAGGTGATGTTCAGTAAAATCCAATGAGTCCTTGCAGAGTAATAAACCAATTTTACAAAAAAGAGCAGGGCAGAGAAAGGTGATGCTAAGGACAAAAGGAAGTAACGATGAATTGGAGGTAATTGTCATATTCCATGAAGTTTCCTGCGTTGCCCTAGGTTGGTCACTTCCTCCTTTTGTTTGTTTCATAGAGATCTTGGAGTTAAAGGACAAGTCTTACCTAGTACTGGAAAAGGATGCCTCCAGTGACATGACCGAGCTGGCTTCTGAAGAGGTTAATTGTATTCATTGATGTGCATGAAGCAAGGCAGAAGCCACCTTCTGTGCTCCACAACTTTCCTAGGTGCAAAGTGCAATTTCCCTGTGAAATGCCTCCATGTCCACTTCGCATATTTGCAAGCAAAGTTCTTCAAATATTACTTGGCTCATAGGCAGTTACTGGATTGAAAGAGCAGGGATTCTGTTTTGAGGGCTTACTCTGACAGTGGAGAATTTCTGTCTGACTCAAGCTTTGCTGTCAGCTCCGGCCTGTTACCCTTAATCCCTGGAGTTAGTGTTTATTCTTCAATCCATTTCATAAGTAAAGCACCTGAGACATACCAAACGCTGTGCTAGAGCTGAAGATGAAATAGGGGTGGTTTGTGTGGTAGATTTATGTCATGGCCATTGCCATACTACTTTCATAGCAGATGTACCAGATCTGTGTGCTTGAGCAGGTGCTTTGTACCCGTCATAACATAATTCCACCTCTTACCCTCTGCTGCGTGCGGCTGTGCTCTACAAAGAGTTTTATTCTGCAGATTCATACAGAAATGATCCTAAATACCAGGGTTGTGCTCTCCGTGCATTGGTAAGAAAGGATTTAATTTATTCCACAGTTGATGTCACAAATACCAAGCCCTGAGCTGTTGTTCCTTTAGGAATTAAATGACAACAACCATGAAGGCACTTCTCAAGAAGGTAGAAACCTCAGTTTAAAGAGACTCAGAAACTACAAACGTGAGTTGTGCAAGTGAAACATCATGATGGTTTGTGCTTGCCAGTTATATTTGGTCTATGGTACACTTTGGCACCATGTATGCAACTCTACTAATTTTTACTAATTCTGTTCTTATTTCTGCTTTTCAGTTGGGGAAACTGCAGTTTATTGATGAAAATAAGTCTGTGGATTATTATTTTTTTAGCTGAGAGTTCTTCAGTTGCAGATCCAGAAAAGCTGCATCATGTCAATCAGTCTTAGCTTCCCTGTTGCTTAAATAATAATGCCTACTTCATGTGTCAGGTATTCACAGACGAAAAACCACAAAACCCAGATGGTGGTATCTGGTCAGACCAAGCCTTGACGTCAGGGAGGGAAAACTTGTACCAGGCTTGGGTTAAAAACATGTGACAGAAGATAGTGAAGAGCCAGGCATTTGTCCTTGCAATTCTGTTCCCAATTGCCTCTTCCAGTGTGCTGTGTTCTGTCTTGGGGTCCTTTTTAGGGGCCTTTCTTTTACAGTAATTTTTACAGTAATAGCAGAAATGTTGACATTTCTTCCAGTAGCAGCGTTTTCACTGAAGAAAATAAAAGCTCCACTGATGAAGGTGGAAATCAACGCTGAAAGACAATAGCATTCAGACTTGTGCCAAGAACTACTCGCAGGCACTAAAAGCCTGACCTTATCTAGGAGCGTAATCCCTTCCTTCCTGGAGCTTTGCAGCACGTTCCAGGAACTCTGGAACTTGCGTTGAACAAGGTGCTGCTGCCGTTCAGGCTGACATCAGTACCGCTGCCACCGGCTGCCAAGAAATTTCACTCCGGCCTGAACTTCTTGCCTGCTACTTGCACTTCTAGATAAAAGGTGTTTGTTACTCAAGGGAGCACAAGGGCATGTGCATGTACTGGTTTTGTCCACCAAAACATCTTTAATGGTTCTCCTGCCATCTACCTTTTGTTTTATACTCTAGATTTATCTTATCTTTCTTTTACTTAGTGTTGTTGCTCTCAGCGGTGATGATTATGGTGCTGTGCATGGAAATTATACACGTGGAGAAATCAAAGAAGCTGGGTTTGAAGCAGTGAAATCCATAAAAAAAACCCAGAAGTTGAGCAGGATAAAAACCCATTGAGCATGGACAAAGTTAGGTTTTACAGCAGTGCTCATTGTAGCGCAGTTCTCTTTAACACAGATACCATTACTGTGCATGGCATTCATATGATGAGAAATACTGAGGAATTGGGAGAAAACATTCTCTACTCAAAACTATTTTAAGACACTAGAATTTCATATGGAAGCTTCCTATCCTAAAATAGTATTTTTCAATTACGGTTCTTGCTTTGGATTTTTGTGCTGAAGTCTTTGGGAATTCTCAGTTATATAATTTCAGACTTAACTCTGCTTATGATGCGGATGGAAACCTGTGTGCAGATGAACGCTGTGGTGTTTCTGCAAACTGGCCAGAGTTGCTGGTGGCGTGTGGCAAGGCTCTGCAGTGTTTGCACTGATGGAACATGCAGGTGATGTACTGTCCTCGCTTATAGGGAACAGAATGTCAAAGTTGTATTCAAAGCAACGTGAATGCAAAAGATCAGGAAAAAACACACAGTGATAAAAACTTCAGCTATTTACAACCTATTGACATTCAGTTTATAGCATTTCCAATGAACAAAACCAATTCTTGCCAACTACCACCTAAAAACCACTTCATCTCTACCATTTCAGGTACACAGACTGGATTTACAGGAGTTTTGCAGCGAGTTGCAGCGCTGAACAGAAGCCAAGGGAGGAAGTGATAATGGCTGAGGAGCTGATGCTGATTGAAAATGTGTGATGCTGAGGAGGAAATATCACACAATAGAACCTCAGTTAGATTGGAAATAGATTTCAAAACCAGGGCACATTAAGATGTAAACAGTCAATAGGAGTGGGGCCCGCCTTGCTCTGAACAATTAGGTCATTAGCAGCAGGAGTGTGCAGGATGATTTCCATGATTAAACTGCAAGTGCAGAACGCGTGAAAGTGCGCGCTCCTCAGCGCCAAAGGGAAACGGCTTTCTTGCTTTCTGCCGTGTTCCTTCTGCTCCTTGTCCCAGCTCATCCTGGATACAAGAGTCAGGCGTAAGGGCAGCTTAAGTCTAGGAAGTGCAAATGCTCAAGGTCTTATGCAAAGGCAGGGTTAAGATTCTTTTGTGTAACTCTAACGAGGTAGGATCGCCCTCTGGAATTGCACTTCTGACTTTCAAGGCTGCCACCCTGAAAAGTTGTCAGCTCACATTCGATAATTGTCAGGATGTGAGCTGAAGTGGTGTCTGATGAGAAATGGAACAATTCAAATATTTGGTAGAGTTAGCTATTGTTATAATTTAAGCACTGATTGTTATGTAGGTGAAGGGGATGGCTCCCTTTTTTATCCAGAGACGAGTTTAACGTCTTGCATAGTTTATAACATCCACCAAGTAGTTTTGAATTTTATGCTTCAGCCAGTGCAGAAGGTTGGCTTATTGACAGACAGACTTCAGTCTGGGAGTCATGCTGTTTTATTTGTGGATAAGACATGTTTGATGCTCTACAACCACACTGTGTATGCCAGGAGTTTGGGGTTTGGTTGTAATTATACTTTTTCTGAGTTTCAACAGCAAAGTGCGGATGCCAGCAGAACTGCCCTTTGCTGAAGGGGAATTGCCAGGCTGCCCCACTGCTCATGCCACACTCCCAACACACAGATGGACCCAGAGCAAAGCCCTCCATCATCGTGGGCCTTGAAGCAGCTGAGCATTATTTATGAAAGCCCGTGCTCTGCCACAGACCACCTCAGCCTTTGGAACTTAATGAAGCAAGAAACCTCTAAGATGACAAAGGTTCTACTATAGGACCAAGAAAGGGTTAATCAGTGAAGATAATGTAGACATAAGGAAGTACAGGTAAGTTGCAAAAGCCAGTGATGGCTGGGTAACTGCTCTCCCTCTGTCCACTGAATGACTCGCATCATTGTGAAGGACTATCAGATGGGCATGGCATGATTTCCCCCTTTGCAAACCCATGTTGACTCCTCCCTGTCACCCACCACCTTCTGCTGCCCAGACCACAAGAAGGACTGCTCTGAAATATAGTAAGAGTCTGGGAACTGGTTGTTAGCAATACCTCAGCTCTAGTCCAGTATCCTAACAGAACTGTGCTCCAAGCCTCCCTGGATGAAAAAGGCACAGACACATCCTGGCCCCCAGGACGAGCTGAAGATGCAGCCATGAACAGAGCTGAAGTGAGCAGAGGAGAGCTCTGGAGAGTTATATGAGCAGGGAACAGGCTGGAAAGCAAAGTCATGGAGGGGAACAATAAAACAAAGACATGTACTAGATTACAAAGTTTATTAAATATCAATGGAATATCTGGAATTAAATACAGTGTATATTAACTTCACAAAAATGTAGTCATATAAAAATAGTGTCACAGCAGCATTCATTGCTTTCCTCACCGCCTGTTAACTCAAGTCCTTGAATTAGTGGGTAAAATCCCCAAACTTTTCCAGTCGTAATTCACTGCAGTACAACCATTCTTACTTTTCCCAGAATTGGGACTTTTTCTGCAATCTTCTGATTGCTAGTGACTTTTGCAGACAGGAAATGACAACTGCAGATTTTCAGTAACAACAGGTACCCCCTTGAAATAAGAAAAACTGTTTGTTTTGTTGACACGAATGTCCCACAACACTGGCTAACATTTGGGCTACAGCCACCATATCATCAGCTGATAGCAGCAACAAAAACATTGGCTGTCCTATCTCACAAGTACTGAGGAGACTGAAAGTTGATATATTAACATTCCTTCTTTCCCACCCCCCCCTACAAAGTGTTTCAGGTGCACCACTGGTGTTGATGTAGGAACTGCAAAGGTATAAAGTTGCAGCAATTTTTAATACAAAAATCAACATGAATACCATGAGGTACCATGAGGGCACAAAATGAAACACGGAAGGTTCCGTCTGAACATCAGGAAACGCTTCTTTACTGTAAGGATGACCGAGCACTGGCACAGGTTGCCCAGGGAGGCTGTGGAGTCTCCATCCTTGGAGATACTCAAAAGCCAACATGGTCCTGGGTAACCTGGGCTCTAGGTGGTCTTCCTTGAGGAGGGGGGTTGGACCAGATGACCTCCAGAGGTCCCCTCCAACCTCACCCATTCTGTGGTTCTGTGATACAAAACAAACATGCCAAAAAGACCACGTAACAACTTTCTTGGCACTACTATACACTCACAGTAATTTTAAACCGAAGGTGAATAAAGTGACAGCAATGTAAAGTGCCCCATTCTCCAGCTTGAACACTGGTAAAGCTTAATCAGCAGAAATATTCACTGCATCAGGATTGAAGCAATGGACTCAAAGCACATAAAATAATGTCCTAAGCATTAAAATAACACTGGAAACATGAAAAACACATGGAGTGAAAGAATTAAACAGAACAAAGGGAATGCTTTTGTTAAAACAGAGAACACGAGCGGAGCAAAATAATGCATCTACCTTAGTAAGAAACGTTTTGACAGTTCTGTCAAGCTCAAGAATCAAGATTAGTCAATCTGCTACTCAGAAAAAATAGATATGGTTCTTATTGTGAGTGCAAAATAAAACAACTATGCATCAATAAACAGGTAAGTGCAATGTGCTTGACATCCATTTAATTGAGTTAGAATTTATATTCAGACTGCAATAAACACATTTTCACATCTGAACTGTGGGATGGGAAACCATAGACGCACAATGTAAACAAAATGACTTCCAAACTTTTCCCTAGTATTTTGTTCAAATCAAATAATTTTTGGTTAAAACATCACGGTACTCCTGTATTGCCCTGCAAAGGGGATCTTGGTCAACAAGGAAATTTTTTGAAGATCCATCAGTAGATACCATGGGAGAAGCTCCAGGAGATCCAGTTTCAAGTTCAGCAGTGGCTAGGGAAGAAGAGAGACAAGATTCCTGGTGTTACTTTTACAGTAGACAGGGCCAAATAAGTCACTGTAAAAACATTGTGGGTAACTGGAGTGACTGCAATCTGGAACAAGGTGTAAAAAATTCCAAGGGAACATAACACCGAAAGGGCTAGACACAAAGGAAGAAACACATTTTTTCCACGTTTCCTTATCAGTCAACAGTATTTCTAAAGCTCGTGAAAGAAATTCCAGAGGCTACACACTGAACATCTTCAGGGAATCCACAAATGACTCCTGCTTATTCCAGTGCTAAATTTAGTCCCCTGCAGGCCTCTTCAACCTCAAGTGTCTGTTTTCCTTAAACGTTCAAACCAGTGATTTATTGGAACACTACTCCTAAAAACCAGCATCTGCATTTGCTGTGAGAAACTTTAAAAGAATCTGTCTGTGAAAACACAAACACCTTTGCAGTCAGGCCAGGACAACTTTTCCAGCCTGGCACCTTCTCTGAGGGGCGTCTTTATAACTCGTTCTGGCAAAACCCTCTTTCCTCCATGAGAACACATACTCAATGAAAGCAAACCCACCTTTGCCATCTTTCTCCAGTCACCTCTTTCCGACAATGTCCCCAAACCAAACACACTCTATGACTCCTAGCAGATGTGCAGTTATGTTCAGAATGCACACGAGTGCAATGCAATGGCTTTGTGTCCATTCAGACACATAGAAAGAGCTATCAAGCTGCAGGTGAACACTCTGTAGGATTAAAAACATACAGGAACAGAAAGAAATGCACTCAGGGGCTACCTGCTTTGAAAAAGTACCAGTCCCTGCAAAGTGGTGACTCGGAAGGAACAATTACCATGGAATAGATGGAATTCTACTTTGGACACCTGACATGTTATAGAGCATGATTTATGCTATGTTTTACAAGCATTCAACTCATGTTTCCCTAAAGACTACTGAATTATCTTTTCCTAAAGAAAGGACACCTTTTGTCACTGCTTATATTCTTCTTGCTCATTCAAAAAGACTGTAACATATAAATTACAAATATAAGCAACAAATAAGAGACATAGCAAAAATCAAGAACTAACAGCAGAGAATGTGTACAGTATGGTTTAGTGCTGAATGCAATCAATGTACATGGAAGGCGAAGTGATGGCTGAAGTCCTTAAACATCTTATCTTAGGACTTTTCTGGTTTTATGTTCATGCTTGAGGATTAATTCTAGTGAAAGAGGACTTCAGCTTAAGCCACATGCACATGTGTTGGGGAAAAATGGGTTAGTTTTCTTTGCGCTTGCTTTTTTTCAGGCAACTGCTTAACATTCTACACAATATTTCGGCAAGAAGGAATTTTTCACATTCAAGAAAGCTAGCATAGAACCCCCTGTGCTTAGCACAGGAACTTGACAGCTTTCAAACTGGTATTTTCAAGAATTAAGAACAGTAATTAATTAAGAACACATTACCCTGTTCAAGTTCTTTAGTGATTTTTTCATCCAGTTCCCGCCGTACCTAGAATTATACAGAAAATATACAGTTAATATTTTAACAGTTACATTTTTGTAATATTAACCTTCTAAGACATTCTTAAAACCCACACATAACATGTCATAAAAACTAAAAAGATCAACCCAAAGAGAAACATCTTGTTTTAGGACTTGATTTTTAATGAAGAGAACTTCTTGGTTAGCCAGGCTGCAGTATTCTCATTGCTGAGCAACGTTAAGTGTAGCACAAAATCTGTAACTCACCAGCTGATTTATAACCAGGCATTTAAAAAACATACAGGAAGAAAGCACAGTAAAGTTATTACAGCGAAGGTATGGCTAAATTTTATCATCAAATACCATTTAGCTAACCCTCTGCTCATGTGAGATAAGCACAGATGCCACCCATAAGGACAAATTCAGGCTGACTTCTGCAACTTCATAAAAGAAGAGGTGCAAGAGCAGCTGCTGCAAGATTTGACATATACCATAATATAGAAAACAGCATGCACCAATATTCTTCTTTTCTCTAACTTGAGATGGAAAATTCAAAGAGCACCTACAGATCACGCCAAGATTTTTCTTTACTGTTACTGCAAATACCATGGCACATATATATAAAAATATAAAAACACACACTTTTTTTCTTGTGAACTTTGTAATAAGAACAGATGGCAACAACTACAGCTTTGACACAGCGCGTGCTGTGGGTTTCATTATGCAACTAAAACCAGCTTGGATCACCAGAAAGGAGCACTTACTCCTTTCTCCCCTAGAAGATGGTTATTGCTACCAATAACATTATTCTCACTTATGATTCTGACTTCAAAATCTTCATAAGAAATCAGATCTTTTGAAGAGTTGTAGCCCAAGTACTATATGCTGTTGTTTACATTTGATGATACTTGTGACTCCTACATTTTTTCCATCAAGCCTGCGACACACAGAAGTGATTTCCAAAACAGACACCATACAGCTTCCAGGCCTATGACAACCACAAAGATGCTGAAGGGCTCGGACCATGTGGAGAGGCTGATAGAGCTGCCACTGTTTCTTTACTGAGAAAGCTCAGGGGGACCTTATCAATGTGTATTAATACCTGCTGGGAGGAGTAAAGAAGAGAGAGACAGACTCTTCTCAGTGGTGCCAAGTAAAAGAACAAGAGGAATAGGCACACATTGCAATAGAGGAAAATTAATTTTAACAGAAGACTTTTTTTTTTTTAACTTTTTTTTTTTTAAATGTAAGTGTGGTCAAACACTGAAACAAGTGGCCCAGAAAATGTTGTGGAGTGTCCAGCCTTGGAGATGCACAAAACTTGGCTGGACATAACCCTGAGCAACCTGCTATGGCTGACCCTGCTTTAAGCAGGGGTGGGGTTGGACTAGATGATCTTCAGAGGCCCCTTGCACCCTCACCCATTCTGTGATTCTCCAATATTAGTACTGAATGCCTGGGGGAATAAGTATCTATTTTATGAAACAAGCAGGCTCACCTAGCAACACACCACCACACCAGCTACAAAATAGAACTGAAACACTGCACAATGCACTCAACACACCATAGAGAGCAAGAGCCTCAGGAAGAGAAGCCCTCTGCATGCCCTCACAAGAGGAGCAGTAACTGGCAATAGATCCACGGGCCAAAGAAGCAGGACCATAAACCACCAAAGTGGAGAGAAGGGCCCTCTCTCCAGGGCTGCAGGGATAGCTGCGACCAAATTCACCAGCTCCTCCAGAAGAACCACCACTCAGTGGTATTTTGTTGGAATAGTCTATGCCTTCACAGCTAGAAGAAGGGAGCATGGAGTTGAAAGAATAGAAAAGGACCCCCCAAATCCCCAAACCTCTAATTGTTTAAGAGCTGGTACAAGCAGCACCAAAATCCTGTGGAGAAAAGACCCCCTAACACATGAAATAAGACATAGGTAACAGAGAAAAACCAGGCAAACTAATGCCTAGACCAAAAGATGACCCCAAACCAGGACCAATTCTAAGCAGCAGTAATTGAGGTGTTAGAAGAAACCACCTTCCCTGGTTTCTGGAGCCTTCACAACGACCAGAAGGTCCAGAGGACCCTCTGCAACACGTGTGAATGAATCAAGAGAAGAAAAAGATCTTGTTTTCCTCTTATGCATTCCATGACCATCTGTGTGATTCTTATCCATGCCTAAGGAAAGAAAAACAGATGGAAGTAAAGCCAACACACTGATTTCTGAAAAGGGAACGAAGAGCCAGGCAAAACACACCTTTGAAGACTATAACTTGCCTCCACTGTTCTCCTTCTCCCCAGGCCCCTGGAAAAGGCATCACAGCTGACTATCCCAAACCTCCTGAGCTTCTCATCCCACTGTGCATCTCTTCAGGCACTAACATACTGGGTTCCCTGGCAGCAATCACCTTCTCAATAATTCTTTCAGAAAGCGGTGCTGACTTACTACTTACCCACATGGGTTGCTTGAGCATGGATCCTGTGGATCCTCTGTAATCTGGATCCTATAAGACTCCACGAGGGGATACTTAGAGTTTAGGACCTCAACTTCAGAACAGCACTGGCTCCCCAGACACAGCCACTCTCACTACCAAGAACTTTTTTGTTATCAGAAATGGCAAGGGTAAACCAGCCTACTTCTATAGTTTAAAGAAGTTCCATTATAACAGATTAAATCTGTACACTGTCATCTTACAGGTGGTTAACTACCACAGAACCCATAACATCACAAATACATAAAGCATGACAGGACTCGGCAGCGGTCATTCTTTCACTTGGACAAACTAACAAGTTCAAAGTATTTGCAGTATTAGGAAAATGTGAATGCATCAGTAAGTTTTAATCAAAACCTAAAAGCAAGAATAGACAGAACATTTCCAGCATAAAATACCACCCAACATTAAACAATACTGGCTACAAACCTTGTCATGTATCTGGCTGCAGAGAAGAGAGAGAAGAACAGATTTTTGATTAAGGAGCTGAAGAAGACAGAAAAATGGCCTTAAGTTCAAAGGTCTTCAGTGAGAAATAAGAACATGGCCTATATGGAAATGAAGTGAGTAAAAAAGCGAACAATACAAAGACTGCTACAATACAAGAGTGCAGATGGAAAAAAAAAAGCAGAAAAGGAACAGAAATTGAGAGATACAGTAGGAAGCAGACATTTCTTCTCACATAACGTAGGAAAACTGGTTTCATAAAACCACTAACTCACACTGGTTGCAGTGAGCAGAGCTCACTATTATTTTCTGTGTCAAGACACCCACATTCATTTTCACTAGCCTTTGGCACAGCTGTTAGGATTTAAGCTTGACATTTGTTAAACCTAACAAGAGGACTCCAGTCCCAAAATCTCCCCGCAGCACTTGCAGCCGACATTCCTTCCCTTAGTGTATGGACTAAGTCAGCAGTTTCCAAATTATCATACAGATACCACTAATAGTATCTCATATTTTTGTTTCACCTGCTTGATTTAATTGAGTTCTGGAGAGTTACATGCCAATTCATGAGCAATTTTGGAGTCAGTAGACTAGATCATAAAAATTCAAGACGACTTTGTCAAAGATATCTTTACTCCTGTAAAGGTTGGGCAATACTACACACATACATCCTTCTTATGACAAGTCCTACCATATTTCAGCCAATGTCCTTCCAGAATATAATGAACTAGTAGATGCTACAGTCACAGTTTTCAATTACATGCACTATTGCTAATTTCTTCCTTGTTACTGGAGCTCTAATAAAAATAAAAACAACCAAAAAACCCCAAAGACATTTGCATGTGATTGGGATTTTACTTGTTAATGAGCTTGTCTCAATACGAACTTTTTTATATTTTTCAAGATACTTTTGTACTTCCATTTCAAGGTTATTAATTTCTGTGGCATATATTTGATAAGCAGAAAGGATTTATACTGTAATGGAACTTACCTATTTATTTATTGATTTTAAATAAAATGCTCATTTTTTGCTGAGCTTGCAGCATGACCATCTTCAAAATGTAAGGCTACATGCATCATCACTGACATCCACTTCTCACGTTAAGTAGTGCTAGTGCTTTAGAAAAACTGTGAAATCTTTCAAGCCCTTAAAACTCCAAATTTTTTAGTTATGTGTAAAAGAAGCAACTGTGTCCACTTGCCAGAGGAGCACTTCTTCCTCTTGTTTGCAGTCAGCACCATTTACCAATTTTTTTTCCAACAGTTGTGTGGACAAAGAATACCAGCACTTTGAATAACAGCAATGTGAGGTATTTTCACCTTCTTGCTCCTGAAGCTATTTAAAAGCTTTTGCACAAACCAAGTTTGCATAAACATCCTCCTCTTCAGAATGGCACTTCCTCTACTTCAAATAGCCTTTCTCACCTTGAGGAAGCAACTGCAAGAACAGTTCTGCACAGAGAGCTTTGACTAAAAAAAGAAGTGAAAGAAGACTACCTGAGGCACACTGCAATTTAAGCTCCTTAACTCCCTGTCATTATGAGCTTTAGTGGCAGGAGCATTTGTAATCTCCAGCCAAGAAAGCACTGCTCAGCTTGAATTCAAAGGCAAGACAAATTCTGTAGAAGGGAACCAGGTTACTGGAAAAAAATCTGAGGCATAAATGAAGAAAACAGTGAAGTGAAGAAAAGGCTTAGTCAGCGAAACTCTTCCGTCTTTAAATAACCTGGTGAACAGCAGAGTACTAAGCAGCACAAATGGAAAAGTACTTCAAAAAAGACTAGAACTGTCATCTCTGAATTCCTTCCTCATACTTCAAGTTGTCTACTGGATGACACAGGACTCCTGCAGAAACGACAGCACAGACTGTGCATCTGGTAATTTTGCATTTGGAAACTGATCGAGATTCACCACCCACTGCTGTATGCAGAGGGATACAAGCTGGTTGTCCCTTTTGTTACTTCATGACTTAAAGCCTTATTTTCCAATTTAATCCTCTTTTTTAGATGAATATGTCAGGAATCCTGTACTTTCTGTTTCTCAGAGCTACAGTATGGCTTCAAACACTGTTAACAACATTCTGCACACAGTTGAGGAAACTTAAGCCACTTAGATGTCCTCTAGAAACTACTGCACCTCTGAGAGCTCTGCTCCTTTTTTCTGAAGGACTCTGAAAGAAAAGACCAGGTCTTAAGACTTTCCTGCATACATTGAACACTGAGTGACTTGAGGCTACAGACAGTTCCATTACAATTAATCTCAGTTGTTCCCTAACTAGTGATTACAGGAAGAAATATCAGGAAAGGATGTGCAGCTGGGTTTACAGAATCACAGAATATTCATGGTTGGGAGGGACCTTTGAGATCATCGAGTCCAGCCACAAAAACAAAAGAGACATCCCAAGACTTCCCAAGTAGTTAAATTTACCTTTTCACATAACACATAACAGGAACTACAAAACCAAATGCCTCCTTATGCACAGCATACACCCCGCACAGGAATATAATGAAGAAGTTACATGATCCCGTTCACATCATCCTATTTTTGAGGCATCCCTTTGTTGGTATTAATGTACTAAAACACGTTCCAGTGAAGAAACTGCTAGAATGAAGACAAGTGGAGAAGGAAAAGGTGTCTCAAAAATGCCTGCTGAGATTTTGCATCCATCATAAAGTTAGCTGTTTTAAATAGGTCATATATACTATACACTAAAATTTAACGAAGAGCTTCACTGGGAGCTTCCTATGCCACGGTATTCTTCATCATAGTTTCTCTTGTAAAAGGATGTAGTTACACAGTTCATTATTTAGATGTCAGTATTTTTTAGATTTGAGCACTCTTGGAAATTTGTACAACCTTGATGAGCAAAAGTCTTCACCCCTACCACATACAGCTGTGTACTGTTTTGAGGATTAGCAGTTGTTTTTGGCATATTAGACTGTATGGTTTGGAACTATAAATGGATTCTAACTTTAGGCTAAAAAGCATAACCATGCTTATGGTTACTCTTTAGCAATAGTCAGGAACAATATTTTAAAATGCTTACCTTGGCCACATAGGCTTCAACCCTGTTTCTTGACGATAATGCGTTCCCAGCTGGGCTTAGGAAGCTTCCTCCTAGACTTAGACTTCTGTTCAGTGCCAAATTGTTGCCAAGGTGTCCCAGTTCAGTTGAATACAGAACTGGACTTGCAGTCAGACCTCCAGTGACAATGCTGCTTGCAATTAGAGACTTGCTCCTATGGCGCTCCTGAAGGAGCTTAGCGTTGGCTTCTGCTACTTTCTCATTAGCTCTGAAACATTCAGAAGCATACAAGAATTATCTTTGGTCGTAACACTTTTGCAAAGTTACTTTCTAGGTCCTTGACTATTATCCAACTTCTGAAACTGGAAGGGATTAACAGCGTCCAAAACAAGAGCATCACTTGATCTGAGGTTTTTTGGAAAACTTATTTCTAAAAAGTCACACTACATGTAAAGAGCAGCAGGAGTTACCAACACTTCTGTGAATGGAATCTGTGAATGCCATGTGTTTACATGGCTTTTTCTGAAAGGTACCTCACCTGCAGAACAACTCTGGGCTACCTTCCCTTTCCCAAGAAAAGCTCAAAATTTAGACACAAGGCTAAAATAGAAGCCAAAAAAATTTTTTTTTTTTTTTTTTTTTTGCTTGGCAGGATCAAGTTCTGTTCCCTGAAGGGCCTATCCCTATTCAAGCAATACAGGAAAAAGAAATCTATCTTTTCTGCCATACACGGAATAAGATGAGGAGTTTTAGAGACTAGCAAAAAGGCTGCCTGTTGAAACACAATCAACTTAAAAAATACCCTATTAATACCATGCTCAGTGCTGTTACTACTGGAACAGTAAAGACAAATGAAGAGAGTTCTAATGAAGAGAAAGGGTCTTAAGGTACTTTCCTCACAAATATGCCATCTTATGCTTACATACATAATGCTGCCCAGATATAGAAGAGGGATTTCAGGAGGAAAATGCATAAGGAAAAAGCAGTATCTTATTACCACTCAAAAAAAGCATGGACTTACCTTTCCAGTTTATTTGCTAGGCATCTTCTAATTTTTACTTCCTCCAGATACAGCTCTTTGTATCTTTCCACTTCTGCCTGTGTGGATTCTTTTTGAAAAATACTGTCTTGTTGGGTATTTTTTATCCTGTCCAATTCACATTCAAGATCTCTAATTCTGTGTTTTAGCTGGTTTCTCAGTGAAGCATGATGACTGGCTCTTATTTGTTCTAATCTGTCCTGGGAAGCTGCCTGCGTCTGAAGCAGATAATACATTTTCAACTATTGCAAAGAAAAAGAGAACTCTCCTCACAAGTCAACTGCATATACCCAATTTCAAGCACGCAGCTTTACTCAGTGAGGCAACCATGCCTCCTCACTGCCATCAACAATCAAGGCAGAATTCTTTAAATTCAGAAAGAACCCCCCATCTTAGCACTATTATTCATCAAAGCTACTAACGAAAGAACACTGCTGCCTCTCTAGAACAGGACATAGAGAAAAGGATTCCTCGTCTCCACCCTTGCCCACCCCCCAACTTTGTTGACTTCTTTTCTGAGCACTTTTCCCTGTACAATGACAAAGCAGGACCTGTATGTCTGGCCACGACAACTCTAAGTCGCCATATCCATTCAAGGATGAACAGCAAGAACGAGACCAGGGGACAGCGATGCCCCCCTTCCCCCAAGAACTGCAAAATGGAAATCTACCTCAGGCAAGCTTTTGCTTCAGGAACCTGCAGGCACATTATACCCACAGAAGTTCAGCACTAACACACAGAATCAGGGACCCAGGGACAAAAAAAACAAACAAACAAAAAAAAAACCTTAAAAAATGATGACCACAACAAAAGTATATAATAGAGACTACAGAGATGTGAGCAATTCACTTACCTGCAGAAATAGATTGACTTCTTGTAGTTTTTGTCTTATTTCTTGTCCAGCTCGTTCTTCCATCTCTTTTTTATATTGTTCTATTTGGCTGTGATCCACCATGTTAGTCTCCAAACGATGCTTGAGGTTAGCCACCTCTTCCTTCAGCTGGCATTTGCTCTTCTCCAGTTTTTCATGGTTCCCACGCATGGTAGACAACTCTTCTCGCAAATCCTGATTTTGTGTTTCTAGCTGTATGCATTTTTTAGACTCTATCTCCAGCTGTTGAGAAAGTTCACCAACCTGTAGACAGAAAAAAAAAAAAAAGGAACTCGGATACAAAATGGGTCAATTCTGTGAGAACTGGTAAAGGTGTTGGTCACTGAGACAGTATTTATCATCTGCTGAATCAGTATTAAAAACAAAGTGAAACTAGGCTCTTCTTTTAAAACAAGAACAGCTTTCACATAACTTCTGATAGGATTCCTCAGGCTCCTAATCCTTTCTCAGGTCTTCTGCTCAGGTCACAGACCAAAAGGTACCAAGCTAGCAGCATTTCACCTATAGGGCTAAGTTGAAAAGCACTAGGGCTACTCTTCCGTGAGATGCTCATAAGCTCATGGACTATCAAGCACACGCATATCCAGCCACCTTCTGGTTTCATCAGAAACAACATGTAGGACGCTTAGGAAGAATTCTTCCATGCTGTCAACACAGTCAAAGCTTCATTACAGAACTGACAAGACAAGAAACAGATACTCTGGTTTTTTCCATTACATTAAAAGATGTCTAAATAGTGGTTCAGAACACAGCTTTTACAGTAGTGGTGGCAGAAAACGTATTCTCCCTAGGTCAAAGCTGCAGTTTATTTTCAAAAGTTTGCAAGAAATATGACTTTCAGCAGGTCCCTAAGGTCAAGTACAGCTCTGTTCTCCTCTCCCCCCCTGCAGAAAAATACCTTTCTATACCTACTGAACATAAAACATGATGTCTTGTCTTTTATTAAAAAACAGTGTGGAGGTAACTAGCATAGTAAACACTTGAGAGAGTCTCTAACAGAAAGTAGAAACTTTAGACTTATTAACAAACGCCTAATGTAATGCCCTTCCCTTTCATTCAAAATAACTCCTCTAACAGAAACCCCAAAATCCTACCAACTTTTGGACTAAAAATGAGCCACTGCAAAGGCAGTTGAGTCATTCTGCAGTACCTTTTTAGTATAAACATAGCTCTGAAATATGGCTGCTTTGGCAACAAATCTGAGTAATGGGCAGAGAAGTAGGCAAAAGTTTACATGCTACCAAACAGCCAGAGCAACCTCAAAAACCTTCTGGGAACTCTACTTCTGAGTCCTCGTGACAAGGGAGCTACTAGTGAGCAATAAGTTACAGAACTTTTTCTGCATCACTTCACTGCATTGTGCCCTGGGAAGCAACGACACTGTTTAGAAAAGCAAACCCTGATGTGCCTCCTGCTCAACTTAAGCCTGAGACAGGGCTCAAGGGCTGATCTTGGGCAAAGCCCTGACCCTCACCCATGGATGTGACATCCTGGTTGGACTGCAGACCTGCCCTTTGGACTGGCCTGGCGATCTGCACTCTTGGCTGAACCTGCTTACTGTCCCCAGACCTGTTCTGCTCTTCTTGGTGATGGCTTGTGGGACTGTTCCCTGGCCTGTAAGGTCACAGACTCTGCCAGCCTTGCTGTGACTCTTGGCTTGCCCTTCCTCTACAGAACAGCCTGCCCTTGATGTGGCCTTGGAGATACTACTTTGCACATAATGTTTTCATCTTTACCCATAATGATAAGCACATCGGTATTATAGTCACCTACTACTCTAACTGTAGAAGAAGCATCAAGAAATGGCAATCAATTCCAATATATAGCCAAGAAAAAAAATAATCAAAAACATGAAAAGCAGTATAGGGAAAGAGTAACACAGGTTTCAAAAGAACACCATCACCAAAAAAACCCAAACAAACCAGAGCTTACCTTTGTTCTTAATCTACCAACTTCATTGACCATTTCAGAATACCTGTTCTTCATTTCTCCCTGCAAATTAAGCTGGGACTCTCTCTCTCTCTCCTCACACATCCTTAGTTTCTTCACAGCTCTGCTCAGAAGCCTCTTCAACCTACACAACAAATTAGTCAAGAAAACAATGAAGCAAAGGAACTATCAGCCTTTTTCACATACTGTAAAATGAACAGGGCAGACATGGCTTGGTTCACCTTTAACATGCTTGATACACCAGGAATTACTGAGAAAAAACAGCATTCCTGTGCCACAAATCACTTGGAGGGTCCAAATTTCACCTGAAAAGAGGAATAAATGACTTCCTTCCAAGGAGAACTTCAGGGCAACCTGCATCTGCAGTTCATTTGGCAGCTATTGAAAACTATAGGCTCAGGCACAGAAGTGCCTTGCAAGAGGTAACATGAGGCTTGAATTTGCTCACAAACAGTTACATACTTACATATATACTTTTACGTTAAAGTTCAATAAAGCTTGACTTCTACTGAGGGATACCTCTTCGCTATACTAAAAAGCCATACCTCTTACAGTCTTTCTGCAGTTCGATGTTTCTTTTCATTTCTTGGTCCAGACGCAGTTCGACCGGGCGTTTCAACTCTACCAGCTTCTTCACTTTCTTTCTTTCACTCTCACACTTTCAAAATAGAAAAGATACATGATAAACACACAGCACAGGAACAGCATCTATGTGCAGCTACTATTCTCCACAGAAGAGGTGCAGTATGTCTGTACCTGTTAGCCAAGTTTCACAGAATGCAAAAGGACAGAATTCCTGAGAACTTTTCCTCACTTCAGGATTGACATTGGCCAATACCCAACTACAGAAACAAATATCCCCACTGAAGAAAAAGCCAGCCTCTTCTATTGCTTTAATGCAAAAAGGTGGAAAAGATGCTGGAGAACACTTTTGGAGGCTCCTCAGCTCATAGAAGGTTTTACGTAGATAGGCACATCATGGGAGAACATAGATTAATCTAAAGCTTTCAGGCAGGCTTCAATGACCAGCAGGCAGGGGCTTGTGGAGGAATTTGATCTTTTGAAGATCTTCGATGTTTTATTCCCCTTTGCCATTACCTTAATCTTCTTTGTGGGTATTTAATTATTCACATGCTGCTCTTCCTCTCGGTGTTTTCTCAGCCAAACTAGAGGAGAGCTGGCAGCTGTTTTGACTTTGTACTTCCCTTTTTCCTCTACAGAAAAGGAGAAAAGGGAAAGACTGCCCCTTGGAAACTAGCAGCAATTTCTTGTTTCCCAAGCAGTAGTTCATTTGCCCAGAATTCCTTCAGTACACTCTTCTGCAAATCTTTTAAGCTGCTGCTACCCTGAAAACATGCAACAGCTCCTCCATACATTCCACTGGAAACATGAAGCATTTTAATCCTGCCCAGAAACCAAGGGGTCAGAAGACAACCAGAAGGAATCCAAGAATGAGTAAGGCTGCAGTTCCCCACTTCTATGTGCTCAACTGAGCAAACTACACTGGGAACTCTTCCACTCCAGAATATACACAAATATACCCAGCTAGCTTTCATTTGCTTCCTGGATGATCCCCAAATGACAAGATACTCAGAGCCTGAATGGCAGGGATAACAGAAAAAGCCAAGTACATAAGAACTCAACAAAAAGGTGAACATGGTTCTCCTGGGTACTGGCTAAGCGTCTGGAGAATTTTCTGGGCTTACCTGTTCCAAGAGTTCAGCCTTTTCCCTGTCAAGTTGAGCGACGCGCTCTTCAAGGTGGAATCTTGACTTTAAGTGCTCTTCCCACATGCTGTGCGAGTCCTTCGATATCAGACCCAGCAGATTCTGATTTTGCATCTGTGAAAGCAACAGTGGCAAAATAAAAAGACTAAGGTGACTGAAAAGAGAGCACTGCAAACGAAAGCAGTAGCGCACACACAAAATCACCCTACAGCTTTCTTCCAAAGGTGTTCCAGAGTTCATAAGGATACATATTTCGTAACATAATAATTCCTCTAATGCTTAACACAGAAAATACCCTACCCTCACTGCTTCTGTAACAACTGTACATCTCCTGAGAGGAAGAAAATGTTTTCAAACCGGCAATGCTATTTATGCTTCTATCCAAAGGGACAAAGATTTGCCTAACAGAGGCATCTGAGTGGAACAGAACTTGCTGGTTCAGTTCAAGTATAAAGAATGCAAATTGACTAGATCTTTTTTTTCCCTAAAAGAATGCCATTAAATCTAAGTTGTCTACTGATCTCCAGGAAGTCATGAAAACCTTAGCACAAAGGTTTAGATAAAAAGTCCTTAAGGTGTACAATGTTCTCAAGTGTCTTTACAGAGTAGGTGAAATGCCGGGTCTTAGGACAGAAGCCAACATGGTCTCAAGGGCAAGCTCTGACAAAGCTGCAAAGATAATATGGATCTCCCAAATCTAGTCTCTTCTCTTATCTTTCAACTACAGATGTCTTCCCTGCCCACAACATCCATCTTATCCATCATCCGCTGTGGTTTAACTCCAGTAGGCAGCTAAGCAACACACAACCATTGGCTCCCCCCTGGTGGGACGGGGAAGAGAATTCATCAGATGAATTATGCTGATGAGCGAAAGTATCTTGCTCACCGTAACACAGCTACAAAACACAGCAGCAGGGGAATGAGGAAATTTACAGCCTTTTTCCTTGAGGGTGCCTTGCCCTAAAACCAGAAGGGTATTTGTCACCTGAACTGTGCCTACACAGCCCCCCTGATCTTTTCAGCAATTACCTGCACACAAAAAATTCAAAGAATACACTAGTCATTCACAGAAGCCAGTCATGTACCTGTTTATGGTGGTGGTCCTCTGCAGCTGCCTGTGTTGTCTGCAAGCTAGTTATCAATTCTTCCAGGCGGTTATGAACCTACAGAAGCATTGAAAGTAGCAAGAAGACAAACTATGACTTTCCAGATTAAAGTTTACACCTCATTACAAAAAAAAAAAAAGTATTACATACACCTCTTCAGCTCTTTAGTCCTATAGTATTTACACCCAGCACTGATGATTAAAATGGCCTTAGTTTGATGTCACTGGAAAACTGTTAGCAATCATCACCTCTACTGTATTCTTCAAGGTGAGAAAACACCACGTGAGATAGAATCTTCAATGAAACAGGCACAAGTAGCTTTTCCCATGCATTGTACAACTGTATAACCAAAGGGGGAGGACCATCTAAAAATTTGCTCACAGCATCCTGGTTTCAGCTGGGAAAGTTAATTTTCTTTCTAGTGATTGCCATGTGAAAGGAATGCCAATGATACATTGATAGGTGATGTTTAAGCTTTTCAAAGACTTTCAGCTTTCCATAGAAGCCGAGAAGAAATGTAGACAGAACAATGCAATGGCCAATAGAATATTCTGTACCATAGACATGCTCAGTATACAAACGAGGTTGGCTGGGTGGTGGTCCATGACCATTGCTTGGGATGGTGACAATTCACTGGGCGGTGAGAGTGACTTGTGTCATTATTTTGTTATTCTCTTTTTTCTTTATTGTTCTATTAAACTCTCTTTATCTCAACTCACAAGTTTTTGCATTTTTTCCCCCCTCTTCTCCCTGTCCTTCTCAGGGGACATGGAAAATGGATGGTGACTGAGTGGCTGTGTGGTCAAACCACGACACAGAAACAGCTAACTAGGCTGAGGAGCTCACAAAAACGGAAGTTTATGACCAGCTTACTGATGCAGAGGCTTGCAGGTCTCTCTGAAGGGTTTCAATCCTATTGTTTTGCTGCTGGACTGTGGCTTCCAATCTGGCATTTTCAATTTCAAGGCTTAAAAAGAAATACAGCTTTTATTATGGAAATCTACTAGAGCAACAAATTAAAAAAAAAAAACGGTGTGAAATAATATAATCTGAAACAAAAGCATCCTTCAAAATCATGTATCAACTTGCTGTGATGCAACAAGGCTATCCTATTGTTTTAACACAAACCCAAAAGGCAAACCCCATCTTGCCTCACTATTCTCTTACCGTTGCACATGTTCTTCCAGTTGTTTTACAGTAGTATTAGTCCCAGAAGATGCCAACAGGAGGTCCTGCAGTTTCTGGGAAGACGCTATTACTTCTCTTTCCTTATTATCCAAGGCAGTCTTCAAGTCATGAACACAATGCTCAGACTGAAGATGCTGTTCTTCCAGCTCCCGCAGCTGTAAAATCACAGTAAGAATCCACAGAAGTCAGGTGAGCTTTAATAGAGGAGTCAACTGCTGCTGAAGAAATCAGGTACTGCATATATCTGTGCATACCCCTACTCAAAGAACTGTAATCATTTCAAATACATTCAAACTTTAATTTCTACTAGTAAATGAACTTAAACTGTCTTACTTCATGATCCTTTTTACTGGCCTCTCCCATCCTACGTTGATTTCCTATAGCACAGTTCCAAGTACTGACACTGCCCCTCCTACCCTTTCAAGTGTCTCATAACACTCTTTATATCCACTTGTTTGTTCCTCTGTTGAAAATGCAGATTTAAAAGTTCAGCCTTCTCCTCAAAGACATGGACACCAAGTTTATAAATCAGTGCAATTCATTCATGCATCATTAAATCTATCCCGTTGAAGTTTTTTCTAGGGTTTTAGGACAACATTTGCTCCTGCTTTCAACAGCCGCCCTCAGATTTATTAATGTAATTACAGACATTATGTACCTTGGTTTTAGCCTTTTCCAACTCCTTTTGTAAGCGCAGCTTGTCTTCCTCCAGATCACTGCGGTAGCGCGTAGTAACTTCAAGTGAAGCTTCTGACATCGATTGCTTTTTAAGAGCATCGGCAAGCTCCTGCTGCAGCTGTCTGACCATGCCCTAATGAAACAGTTAAATGGGCATGAAGAACGTCGTGAGACGATGAAAGATGCCTTTACTTTAACTTACTTATTATACAATTGGCCCTGTATTTGGATTGAACTTGGTCGTGGGGTATCGGAAAACACGTGTATCACACTAATTATTGTTTAGTCTTGTGTGCTTGACAAGCAGAACATCTGCACTCAGGTAACATAAGCCTGTGACAGACTCAGAGGCACCTTATCAAACATGCTTGAGATGCCTGTCCTGCTGTTGGAGCAGATCAAAGCACAGCAGAAAACTATGCCTGCTTGAATCCCTGATGTACAGGCGAGAACAGGAGGTTTGGACTCTCTCTCTAGCAAGGACCGAGCTCCACGATGCCTGCGTTCCTGCCTGCATGCCTCTGCCCAGGTCCTGCTTCAGAGATAACCTGGATACCTTGTGAACCAGGGTAAATTTACTCTTTGCATTTCATCTGGAGTTTTGGGGTTGTTCCTGCATCCCGCCTGTGTCAGCTCACACATACTCTTAGGAACTCATAACAATGCATTCTCCCATTACCTATAGCTTTTTCAACTGTCTGCCTACTGCTCACTTGTACCCCTGCCTTTATTCTCTTCCACTCTTTTTCTTGACAAAAACCACATACAGGCAGAAATGGGAGCAACACTTGGTTCTCCTGTCCAGTTAGTCTGCCTCAGAGCCACAAAAAAAAGAACACATTTAAATATGGCTATACATCATAAACTAGAGAAAATAAAGCTTAGGGCAGTGTCCAAAATGAACTTCTCAAGGAGCAGGAAGGCCCCCTAGAAGTCCCAAAATACAGACATAAATTAACACCTAGACACTACTAATGCTCTTCAATTTTGATAGCAACTTATGGAGAAGTGATTTTTTTTTTTTCTCTGTAGGAGCTTAACATAAATCACTTCACTTGTTGGCATCTTCATTTCTCAACCTTAGCATATTGGATAGCTCTTCATTTTATCCCACTCTTATTTGTGTCATCAGTGCAATACATATATAAAAACCATCAAATACATAAAACCATTCTGGAGGGCAACAAAATGGACTAAGTAAAAGATGAAAAAAGTTCTAGAGAAGAATCACCTTTCTTGATCACAGCTTAGACTTGGATACTTTTTTTTCCTGTTCTCTGCTTGTATCTGAGCAGTAACATCCCAATACAGCTAAAACCTTCCACAATTCCAACAGAAACAGGAAAACCAGAACAAATCAGCATCATTTGCTTCCACGCATATAACTTATACCTGTTCCGTCTTAGAAACATAAAATAATTTCAAGAACTGACAAACTTTACATTGTTCTAAGTGTATACTTTACCTCTCTCTCTACTTTGTCAGTCTCATATTTAAAGACTTGTTCTCTTAAATCAGTACACTTGGAATTTAATTCCTTGTTCCTCTCTTCCACTAGGTAAACTTGCTTTTCAGTATCAGCTCTGAGTTTGTTGAAAATATCATTAAACCGGTCCTGCACATCATTCACTACTTTTTCTTTGATGATCCCCTTGTTCTGCATATCTTCCAGTTGCTGACGGAGTAAAAGGTTTTCACTCTGGAGCTGGGCCAATCGCTCCTGCATGGATTCCTGCTTGATTATAAATTTGCTCACTTGATCCTTCTCAAGTTGTCGAGCGTGATCGCTTTCCTTCGCCTGACACTGGGCTTGACTTAATTCTTTTTGTGTCATTTCTAAAAGCAATGTTTTCTCTCTGAGCGTTTGTTTCGACCGGTGAAGCTCATTTTCTAGACTATTAGCTTTGCTTTCAGCTTTACTCAGCTGCTGAGACAAGCTCTTGTTGGTTTCTCTCACATCAGAGAGGTCATGACGGAGCTTGTCTTGCAAGCGAAGCCATTCATCACGTTCTCTCTGAAATGTTCGTTCCACGTCACTTTTTGATGACTGATGACGTTCAAGTTCTTGAGCAGTAGTGTTCAGGCGGGAACGAAATGACTCAATTTCTATTTCTAGTCTGTCTTTGCTTTCTTTTGTCTGCTCAAGTTTGGAAGTTAACACTGCAGATTCTGTCTTCAGTAAGTTCAGCTGCCCATTGTACTGAATAACCGTTTGTGTTAAGGCTTCCTCATTCAGTTTAAGTTCCTTTTTGAGATCTTCATTTTTTTCTTTCAAGGTCTCATTTTCCTCTAAATACTTCCCTTCTTTCTCCTGGTGCCTAAGTCTTACTTGATCTAGTTCCAGTCTTAGCACAGCAATCTCATCTTGTAGTAACTGATTTTTGTACAACAGGTCCTTTTCTCTCTCAGTGTCAGATTCCTGAATGGCAGGGAACATGAATAAATAGCCAGTTGGGAAACAAATCTACAAGAACACTTCAGCACTAAAATGCATTTCAACATTTCTAATATCAAAACATGGCTTCAAAGATGAGAATGAAATTTCAGGTAGAACATAACGCACTCTATGAACCCATGCACGTGTACAATGTATGCACACAATGGAAGAACAACACACTCTTAAGATCTAAATGAACATTCCAAATATACAATGCCTTTGGGTTTTTTTGTTCTTAAACCAGCAACCAAATAATAAAATTATTTAAAATATCTCAAGTATAAAAATGACAGTGCTTCTTTTATGTGCATGCCTTTAAGGTTAATTTTGCTGTGTTACCAATAGGATAAAAACAAGGCTAAAAAGGGTATTTTCCTTCTCAAGTGTCTTCTTAACACGTCCTTCTGTATGCAACTCAATCAAATACTATGCAACTCAATCATCCCTGGAATGCAAGTCTTGTATATTTCCTGTTCATTATATATATAACTTTTTTCCACAAAAGTTTCCATATTTCCACAAGAACCCTATGTTTATTGTGCATCACAGCCAAGAACAAATGATTCTTCCAAAAACTGCACATTCTTAGTAAAGTCACTAAAACACTAAAACATTTTCAAGATTTTTTTTTTAATACATTGTTTACGATTGATTTTTCTCTTCCAATTATTCCAACTCCTACAGAAAATTTAATTAATTGCTGATATTCCTTCATAAAATGTTAGTATGTGGAGATGAAAAAGAAAGGCAAACTTGTAGTAAGTTTGATATGGGAATAAGTAATTAAAAAAAACAAGTACTGGGAACACCAAGAGTCAATGTCAACCAACTTCCTGGTCAACCTTGACACAGGGAGCTAGGTGTTTCACTGCTATAAATCTTAAAAAATGATTATAAAATGTCTATGAAATTAAAAATAACAGATAGCTTAAGAAAAGTAGTGTTTTCTATTAGGTTCCTACTTGCACATGCAGTTCAGGTACATACAGGATTGATGTTGCTGTCCAGAACTTTTAAAGACTTAAGGAAAAACAGAAAAGGTATTTACACAGTTAAGCTACATTGATAAAATAAATCCATCAAAAAGCAGAAAAGAGTTATATAAGACATATTATGACTTTAGAACAAAAATGGTGAAATTTAGTTAATTAGAAAAAAATCTGCTTACCTCTGAATTTTTTTCTATAGTTCTTCTTGTCTCTTCTTCTAGTTCCTTTTGTCTCCAGAGGTGGTTGTTCAAAATTCCTTCTTGCAGGGCTCTGGCACTCTTTTCCTGAGAAAGCTGTCTCTGTGTTTCATCACGCTCTTCTTCAACCTACAGTAATACAATTAAACTACTTGCATCTTCAGAAAAATCATAGCTAGAAATATCTTCCCATTCTCCTTTGTATTCTTGCAAATATTTTTGCTTCCCCACAGTTATGATAATCCACCTAGAAATAATAAAGTTTAATTTTCTTCTGAAAAATTAAGAAATACAGAATGTTTTGTAATAATTTAGAAAAATAACTAAGTCAGGTTTTGCCTGAAATAAAAATGAAGCTTACATTTTGAAAAAGGAGAAAATGAATCATGAACTTGCAAAGAAGGAAAAAAAAAAAAAAAAAACTGACCACTTGTGAACCAATCATTCTCATCTATCCTCAAAATTTCTCAACATTTATCCAATGTCTCTTCCATGAACAAGTACCTCCTTCTTTAGGCATGTTGGAATAAAATGCAAATTAGAAGAAAAAGAAAATAAGACAAGTGTTTAGCTCATTACTTAATATACCTGTTTCAAGAGCTTTCTCAGTGCTATTAACTCCATTTCTAAATTCCTTGAGCGTAACTCAAGTTGCTGTTTCTCCTCCACCTCTTTACAATATTGATCTTCTTTCCCTCTGAGTTTTTCTCGTGTTTTCTCATATAGTGTTTCTACTCTGAGCCTCTTTTCCTCTTCTTGTTTCAAAGTAAATCTGAGAATTAACAGAATATGAGAGACTAAATCACTGATATAAAAAGTAGACATTCCACATTATGAACTTGCAGACAACACAAACCATAAAAATGATAAATCATTTTAGATTTCATATTTTTACTGTAATTTTTAACTTTTAAAAGAATTCTAACTTCTCTCCATTATCCACAGTATCAGTTGTACAAGATACAGAAACAAACTGAGCGATTTATCATTTATTTATAAGTTTACATAGGTAAGTGCATAGTAGCATGCCCATTTCTATAATTAAAAAAAAAATAAATCATCTTCATTCAAAAAGACACTTCATTCAAAAAGAATTCTTTGTCTTATCAGATCAAAGCACCAGAAACTTTACTATGTTTAATATACATTTCCATAATATGCTGAACATTGCCTACATATTATGGACTCAGTGATTGCAGGTAATAATGATGAAATAGCACACCCCTTATCTGTGACAGAACCAATAATTTTTTAGCAAGCCATCTGTAAATCTGAAACAACTGCTGACCATAGGAAGAGCAAGCAGTTTCTATTTACTAAAGAATGAGAATTGTTCAAAAATAGATTTAGAAATGCATAGGGTTTAAACTTAATACAATTAAAAATAGTTTTAGACCTCAACGGAACTACATCTGGGAGAAACAACAGCAATTTAATTTTGAAGCAATTTTATAATGAAAGCCTTAGGGAATGCCAACTTCTTTACTAAATGAAACAATCAGGAGCAAGCACCAACATGGTAGAAAATGGTCCATGGTATCCAAAAAAGAAAGCAGTTTTATGTTTGATAATTATTTTGAATATTTTTTCCTGATATCTCTCAATGGTCAACAATAAATAAATCAAGCATTAACTTGAGGAAAGAGCTGCCAATTGAAAATCTGTTTTAGAAATTCCACCAAAAAAAAAAAAAGTATCAGCAACCACGAATAAATTCTTTGAAAGACTGTCAGTATTTGAATGGTTTCTATGGCAAAGAAAAATCTGTACATATAATTTTAATGTAATTTCACAAAAAGTATAGCTTTTATAAGTGTAAACTTAATATTGCCTTGAGAATTTATTTAGAAAGAAAATATTAAGTCTTTGTAATCAATAGGTTTCTGAAAATTTTGAAAAATAGTTTGAGTCAAATCCAGAGCAAGTTGGATCTGGCTTTTTTTTTTTTAAAAAAAAAACAAAAACCAAAGAAAAATAAAAAGTTAAAACAACATCCAAAAGACCTTACACAGAGCTAAGACCCAAGCATTTTTTCCCCCTGACATTATGCCCTTTATAGCATAACTTGCCCATGGGATTCAAAAATCCCAGACCCAAAAGACAGGAAACTTCTCATTTTATCACCTGTACCATCATCATCTTCTGCAACGTGAACACTGACAAGATAAGGCATTATCAGAATGCAAGGTTACATACTTAAGGCTTTCAATGTCACTTTTCCATTCAACTTCTTGATGAGCCAACATGGATTTCAAATCTTGAGTCTCTTCCGCTATTAATTGTGATGACTCCTTTTCACTTTCTAATTTCTTTACTTCTCTCCAGGCAGCTGTGTACCTACTTCTTTCACGTTCTATTATCTGTTCATATTCAAGAAGTATGTTTTGAATTTTCAACAAAACAGTAGAACCTATTTTGAGATAGAAAAAACACAAAGCTGCACATATGCACAAATACTTTCCAGCCCCTGGAAAGGGTCATGCTGGAGCATGACCACAGTGATGGGCTGTGGAAAACCCCATGCCAGAGTAGGTGGATATTTCCAGAAGGACCTGTAGCCCATGGAGAGGCCAGGCTGGAGCAGATTTTCCCTGAAGGACTGCAGGCCATGGAAAGACTCACACTAGAGCAGGGGAAAAGTGTGAGGAAGGAGGAGTGGCAGAGGGAAATTGTGATGTCCTGACTCGGGACCCCAGCCTCCCTGTGCTGTTTGGGGAGGGGTAGGGGAGTTGGGAGTGAAGGAGTGAAAGACTGAAGTTGAACTTGACAAGGGGGTGGTGGGGGAGGTGTTCTTTTAATTTTCTGTCTCTTTGTTTATCACTATTCAAATCTAGTTGAATTGGTAACAAATTAAGTTTCTCCAGCTGGAGTCTGTTTTGCCTGTGACAGCCCTGCCTCTCTATTGGTCCTGGAGCTTTTTCATCCTATTTTGTCCTGTAGAGTAGGGGCAGCAAGAGAGCAGCTGGGTGGGATTTTGGCCCAAGAGTAGCTGGGTGGGATTTTGGCCTTTGGCCATGGTTAACCCTTGTCTAATGAAATTTTAGGACAGTTTATTGAACACAGTGAGCGATGCTTAAGTTTATATACCGTTTTGTGTATATATACAAGCATCTTATGACAGTTGATTTTTTATATATGTATTTAAGCAAAGCCATAATTTTGCTGCACTATTTCTCATTAGCTATTGAGGGGATACAAAGAGGAAAAAGAAGTTCTTGCTAACTTTTGATGACCGCATTAGAGGGAGCTGAACTGTACTTTGCAAGAACCTGCTTCTCCAGCTCTGACTAAACAGAGAACCAACGGTAAAGTAAGGCATTGTAGCAGACAATACATGCAGGCATCTAAGGTTAGGTGAGATAATGTCACGTCTTTCAAAGGGGATCTCTAATCATAAAGAAACATTAGATTGAAATACAAAAGTAAAATACCTAGGAGTGCAGACAAAGAAGTCATGTTTTAAAAGAGAAACTTGTAACAGCTGAAGACAAAGTGACCTGAAAACATACCCGTAGGATCCACACTAAGCTGTTCTAACAGCAACATGGCCTCTTTGTAGGTTGAAGTTGGCAATTCGACATCCTCTGAAGTTGTGTCAGATGAGTGAGTTAAATCAAGATCATCAGTTACATCCATTTGTATCCTCACCTACAAGCAATACAGTATTTTCTGTTTACAACTATATAGTATTATAGATCATTACAAATGCACGAATGATTAATTCTCTCATTCACAGCCCATAGATTTAGCTGAAATATGATAAAGCTGCATACTAACAGCAATTTGTGTCTCTGTTTGATCACTACATAAATGCTGTTCCCATTTAAGTGATTAAAAGCTTTTACAAATTATTTATCAAGAAACTAGTTTTACAGTACCTTGTTCTTTTCACTCCCTGTTTTTGCTGCAGGCCTGGAAAAACAGAAATATATTTCAGTACTGGAATGTTTATATCACATTATAAACAGTATCTAAAGTTGATCTGAAAACTTAATTTCAGAAGTTAATTAAACTCAAGTTTAATATAAAAATTTCATTAGATATAGTTGATGACTGAAAAAACGTATGTTCTATTACATCTATTGGGAGGCTACTTTTTCCACAAAATATTAAGCAAATAGTTGAAATAACTTTGCTCACAGTGACAGGTATCTTACAGCTACAGATATGTAGATACACAGACACAGAGTTATGTGCATTCCCTGTTTAATACTAGAAGTTTAACTCTCTCAGTATTGAGAATCCTTCTCTTACAGGTCAAAGAACCATAATTGTGGATTCTCTAGTGTACTGGGCCTGGCTGGGATTGAATTAATTTTCTTCACAGCAGCTCACACAGTGCTGCAGGTTACATTTCTGACCAAAACAGTGGTGATAACACACCGATATTTTAGCAATCGCTGAACAGTGCTTGTACAGTGGCAGTACCTACTGTTTCTCACTTTGCCTCCCACACAAGTAAGTTTGGGGTGGGCAAGAAGTCAGAAGGGGACACAGCTGGGATTAAAAAAAAAAAAGGCAGAAAAACCTGAAATGCCTGCAGTGAAAGAGTAATTTTTATCTTTTATAAGTCTCTCCCCCTCCCTTATAAAAAATATAAAATATATATATATATTTATGCACATGTCCACACTCAGGTAATTATTCAGAATTTGCGCACATCTGACCTTATCATTAAGTTTACTAGTATGTTCAAAGCACTCTAAGCAAAATGGAAGTATTTTTGAGTACAAAGGCCATCGGGTGGTGTTGTCACATGAAAGAACAAGAATCATTGTTCACATCAGGTTTACAAAACTTACCTTTAGGTTTCAGGTCAATTTTTATCATAACGCAAGTTTGATTTATAACATTGCTTATATTCAGTACCTTCCTTCATCTTGAGAGGTTTCACTGAAAGTGCTGTCATCCAGTACTTGAAAATGATTCCCACTGGAAGAGTTCGTTTGCTGATTAACCTTCTGCTTTGAAGTTTGTCTTCTATTTTTCTTTGTGACTTTGGCATTCAGGGCAAATTTACTACATTAAATAGAAAAGAAAAAAAACCACCATCACCAGTTGAGCAGCTTTACAGAAAAAATTTCTGTGAAACAGACATACTTAAGACGAAGTCCAGAAACAACCAAGATGAAAAATATCTATGATAAAACATGGACTTGACTCCGAAGATTATGGAAGATACCCTAGTATTTACAAAACCTCCTAGGGACAAAGGGGAAAATGCAGAACCTGAGCTAGATTCAAGTAAGTGGAACGTATCTAATGATCTAGAGTAGAGACTCCTTTGAGGACAGAGAGGAAAAAAATCCTACTTAGGGTTACATAAAAATATTTGTGCCTTCTTCAGACTTTTGAGATTGGTTTGGTAACCTGCTCCCTTTTCCTGACAAAGAGCATCTGAACTTAATGAAAAGAAAAATATCAACTACATGGAGATCACTAAAATCACCCAGAGAAGGGAGAAAGCAAAGTAAACTGCAAGTTCCTACTTTTCTTTTCTTTATGGCCATTTCCTACAAAAATAACTGTTTTTTTTCAGTCTTAAACTTGGGTTTGAAGATGAGTTTTACCTTAGTACTGACAAGGAAATCCACAGGATTTTATTTTTTCTCTTTTTTTTTCTTTTTTTTTTTTTTTAAAGCAAGCACTAAATTTTAACCTCCACTATGAGATTATTTTTTTCTAAAGATTTTGTTTTTCTTAAATATTTGAGAAGCAGTGCACTACCTAGTATGGCTTTCAGCAACGACTACAACATTAGAAAACCTAAAAAATACTTAAGTAGTACTAAAAATTAGAATTAGAGATTATTTCCTTAGTTTACCCTTTCAGTGGCATTTTAATCAATTTTGATCTCTCCTCAGATGGAAAATTCTTATTGTCTTTTTCTTCTACAGTGCTTTCATTTCCCATTTTCAAACTGTCATTCTTCCTTAGAGTAGGCTTTTGTATCATTTGATGATCAGTAACATTGCCCGCTGGTGTATTTAATTTATCAAGATCTTCCTGTTCAGCCACCGCCTGCGTTTTGAAACATATTTGTTTGCTTTTTTCCTTCTCAACCTACAAAAAGAAAGTTAAACTTTATATATTTATCAGTATTTCTAGAAGAGAGAAACACAATATCCAAGGTTGAATAATTCAGGGTTTACCTCTAAAATAACGTGAAGTGCAAAAAAAAAAAATTAATTCATATAGAGAGGCATAACCACTAAATTACACTATAAAGTGTATTAAGTCATTGAAAGTACTTTGAATTCACTCATGATTAAAGATATAAAAAAACCATAGCCCTTAGAAAGAAAACAATAGTGCATCTTAAACCATGAACAACAAAAAATTGAAAGCACTACTGATGGACCAAGAGTTAGGACTGCACAATATTAGTTGTAAACACAGAAAAAAATAAAATGGAGTGAAAGTGTTGTGGGGGATGGACAGGGGGTGGGAGGAAAAAAACCAAAAGATCCCAAACCAACAAGCAGAAGTTTTTTCACAGCAAACAGGAATTTTAGTGAAGGACAATGAAGACACGCCATGCAGAAATCACAGCAAATGAATAGATAAGTCAAGACCCTGTTCAGAAGCTATTTTCATTCTTTGATTCAGAATCAGAACTGATGTAATTGTGTGCATTTCTTTTTATGGCAATGAAGTGATAACTACTTACACTGGAATTGAGTGCCACCTACTGTTAAACTAGAACAATAATGTATTCTGTGTTTTCCAAAAATGGGGAAAAGGACAACTCTCCACTGTTCTCTTTATTCGTAAGTAATGTATTTCCATTAAAACAAAGCCTGATTTGCACAAAGCATCTTCCCTTAATGATGAATAGCTAAAGTGAACAGGACCATTGATGTGGAGAAAGACTAAAGAATAAGGATTAGCAGGTGAACTTCTACCTCTTTTTGCAGCTGTACCTTCTCTTTCTCCAAAGCCACGAATACTAATTGCAGCATTCCTACCTTACTCTTAAATCTTTCCATATCTTGTTTTAGTTCTTCATCCATATTTCTCTTCAGCATGCCACATGATTGCTGAGCATTTGCAAAAAGACTTTCAATTTCTGTTTCTCCTAGTTTATTATTGTCGATAAGGCAGTCCCTGGGAACATCACCATTAAATCCAGAGTCTTTTCCAAATTTCTTTTCTGTTGCAAGAAGTCCATTGTCATCACTTGTAGAAACAGGTCTTGTTTCAGGAAGAATATTAGAAATGTCACCCAAAATACCTGTTTTCAAGCTATGTCTCAGGGAGTATTCAGGACTTCCCTCTACATTTCTACTACTTGCATTTTCACTCTCTTCCATTTCCATAGTAGGCATTTTCTTTTTCTCTTTTGCTAGAGGCACCTTTGTATTATCTGTATCGTTTGTGCTATTTTCTTCATCTGTATTCCAGGTATATTCCATGTTTAAGTTATTTTGATCAGGAAGGACACTAAGACTCGGAATTACAATTTCCTTTTTGGGTACTTTTCCACCTAGCATAGGTTTAATATCTCCAGATTCACCTTTATTTTCTAACTTATTACTTGACTCTGTCACACGAGATGAAGCAACATGAGAACTCTTCAATTCTTCACTGAAGCCACCTTCTGACATTTCTCCCACAAGCGAAGCAGTTTTCTCAGTCTCATTAATTTCACCAAAAAGCTGCTTCAGCTCTGCTGTAATGTTTTTAAAATTTGTTTTCAATTCCCTTTTCTCATTTTCAACCCACATTCTTTCATATCTTTCTTCCCAAGGTTTTGGACTTAAATGCTTGTCAGCACTGTGCGATTCCTCATTTTCTCCTAGGGCTTCCTGATGTGAAATTTCTGCTTTGTCAGTCTGATTTTCATGTGCTGTTTTTCCTATCAAGTTGGTAGTTTCTAAAATATATTTACCCTTAAGTAAGCAGGTACAGACAGAAAGATTACCAAGAAAAAGGACGTTACAGTTAATCTAGGTAATTTCTGTTGCAAACTCATCCTATCATATAAAAGAAATAATAGAAATATAACATTTTGAAAACAATTTTCATAATAAAAATCAACAGATACTAAATTAAAGGTTCACTGAATCATCATTTCCTTAAAAACAGAAGAATGGACTTCAAAAACAGCTTTTCTTGGATTAGATTTTTCTGGACAGGAGGGTTGCTTTTACCTTTTAGTCTGCCTGCTTTCTGTAACTGGTGGCATTTGTCACAAAGCAATTCATTTTTTCATGTTTTATTACTCAAATACCATTTTTAATTACAACTGCCTACATTTTCTCACGCTCCTTCCTCTACTGTTTTCTATTGTCTGGCATTTTACAGTCCGCTGCCCGCTAAGCTAGTACAACGGGAATAAACATGACAAGCTTTTTACTGTCCACCACATGGAAAATTAACTAAGTTAAGAATCCTTCTTCACGAAATATTCAGAAATATTAAATTCCATTCCAAGCTCCAAAGAAAAAAATTTTAGGGAAACCTCTTCATTCCTCCTCTCATCTCAAAAATCAGGAACCCAAGATTGTATGAAAACCATCCCATGCCTCAAACCCAACCAGTCTGCTCATGCCCCTGACCCCATGCTGTGTTCCTCAACAGTTCTGACTGCTCCTGTCAAGTGTCACACTCTTCCTAACCTGCTCCCTCCCCACATGTCACTCTAGCTCGTGGTTCCTTCTAAATAGGACCTGCAGCCTTGGTGGTGCAGCCAATGGGCTACAACCATGCAACTCCTTGTTATCTCTTCTCGCTAGCTCTCTGCAAAAATTCCTTCATTCAGAGCAGGGAAGAAGCACTTCAGCTAGCCAACATCTGTCTCGGCCTCTTCATTCCCAAGTTCATTGCCCAACTACTACCACCTTCTGATGGGTTTAAGTTCTGTGCTGCACCTGTTAAAATTAAGCCCGTCCCTCCTTCACGGTGCCTGAGTGTGGGGTTGAAATAGTTTGCTCCGCTGTCCCTTGAGGTATTATAGAAGACTCTAGACCCCTCTATCCAGCCTTGTCTTGTATGCCCAACACAAACAGGATGCCGGCCTTATTCTCCTCTAGATTGCCCTCTGAAAAAAAACCTCACCTTTTCAAACGCTTATTAACATGGCCAAACAAGCACTATTTTGCAGAGGCAGAGAAAGCATCAGAAAGGTCAACAAATGTCAAGGTTTGCTGTTTGATCTTTCTCTTATAAGAGGAAAACGAGGCATGTTTAATCAGAAAGATCAGGATATTATAGGCAAATCTTTCTCTTCACTTGAATGGGCATTTTGCATAGGGAAAAAAAAATACATTTGGCCACACTGTATCTCAGCACCGTAAAAAATGAAAAACACTGGTCAAAATTTAAGCAAACCAGCTAGAGACAAATCAGAATAACAATAAGTATCCAACATAATGACAGAATTTTACCCCACTGTAAGATGATTGTGTCCAATTTTACTTCAGACTATAATACAGCCTTCATCTACAGGACTCTCCCTTCAGCATTATTCACTGACTGGTAAGCTTTTTTACCTTAGTGTATAATACAATTTACCAATTCAGACCCTAATTCAAAATACTTGATTTTACATACCTGTACCCCATAGTTTACAATGGCATCTTTGATGTCTTCTTTTTCAGCTGATGATGACATATGAGAGGTAGATCCTGAGTACTCACCTACAGGGAAAAACATATATTTTTATAAGCAGCATGAATTAATACTACCCATTTACACCTAGAGTGCATCTTAAATCATATTTGTGGGAAAAAAATCTTAACACAAAATAACAGATCCTCTCACATTTGTGAGGTCCTGAAGAGAACACTATCATAATACAGATTTAAGATGCTTCTGTGTGAATTCCTTTCTTTCAGGACATTTTACTTTTTAATGTATAAAGGAAATTTGTTGAAAATCACTATAAATGCTCACAAATAAATCATTCCTGTTTCTTAAAGGTGTGTGATATCTCTCTGTCTCTCTCCGACACATGGTGTGACATGCACTAATTAGCTACATTCCTCCAGCAGTTTTAATTTCCTTATATGTTGTGCATAATCATAAAAACCAAGAAATACAGGCTTGAAATCTTTAAGTCCCCAGCTTTAATGCATGCATGAAACAAATCTGTCTCCACGCACGGATCTGGACTGAGTATTTCAGTCAAACTGCTGCCTCATCTGTTTCAGAAGAGATGGATGGACACTGAGAGGCAGGCTTGTGAAATGTTGAGAAACAACCCATGACCCATACATTTCATTTGTACTCTTGGAAACTGGATTCCGCCTTTTCATCTTCCAGAATTTTTAAGTAATATTGGACAGGTCACAAACTCCTCAGAAGCAGTCACTCAGACTCCCTATTATGGGGTGCCTACCATGAATCTCTGTTACATCTGCAAATTGAACTCTAAATACTTTCTACAACTTAGAAGCAGCAACTCATTGTCATTGTTTGTGTGGAAGGCACACTGAACACTTTGAAGTATCAAATATTCAGAAAGAAATAAGTCCCAGTTTAAGTGTGGCATCTAAAAACAGTGATGGAGGCTTTTAATCATAATCACTCCTTATCTCCTTTTCTGCTCCCTAATTCTGTAGTTTCTACACAATAGCCTTTATATACAGAAAGTTTCACTGCTAAAGAGAGACACATTCTATTCTTCCTACAAGAAAAGTGTAGCAAGACAGGGAGAAAATAGATATCATAATAAAAATATAAAAGGGTCCAGTACTAATGAACCACGGCCAACCTCACTTCTGGCATTTTCTGGTTTAGATGACTCGTTTTGCAAGCTTTCATTTCTTGAAGGGGATTACATTGGATATAAGCTTATAACTCCTATGTCTGAATTGGGAACCTAAGCTCCTCAGACAGTCATACAGGTCTCCAGAGGTCAATTCTAACCTCAAGTTACACAGTGTGAAATAACAACCTTCTCCTCCCACCTCAATCACTGGTGGGTGCAATTTCCTACAATTTTTTAACAAACTTGAATTTTTTGGTATTTTAGCACAAGGCACTTTCTCAACACACTGTTCAAAGTATGTAGGTGTTTTAATGTTTTGGATTCTGTTTCAGAGTCCAGACACTTGAAAATTAGGTGCCATACTGCTATCATCAAAAGCAACTCAAACTCCTGTTCAGTCTTGCCCATCATGGGCCTGCCCATCTAAAGTCTCAGTCTTTAGATAAGATTTTAGGATCTTCGGAGCCCATAAGATTTCTTTTCCATAGGGTTTAATCAGTATTAAAATTTCTGTACCAAACAAGGAAAGAGGCAGGAAAGATGGAGGGCAACAATATTCTTCCATCTGCAAAATTCCAGTTCTCATGTCAGTAACTCTAGTCAGTCATTATTTTTCTAGTGGCTGGAAAAATAATTAAAAAACATAACTAAAAAAAAAAAAGGAACTACTCCCATTAGCTTTTGTAAGTAAATTTTCTTCTCTTTGTGGACCAATAATTCATGAATCTATTTTCTGACTTACTGGCTTCTGTCAAAATTGTGAAAGAGGAATGATCCCTCCTTGTCAAGACTTTTTCACTTTTAACACAGGGAGAAACTTTAAGTTAAAACATTAGTAGAACCTAAGGCTGAAGCTTCTGAAGAACATGACATTTAAAAAAATATAAATCACAGAATAAATGAAATTCCATTTTTTTTGCCAGTCATTTATTACTAGCATGTATTTTTATTAATGGATATCTGCAGCAGGGCTAGATGAATCTGGCTTTGTGCTTAAACAAACAGAAATCCCTGTGCATACAGAAGATGCAAATCCCCACCTTTTACTCTGTTCTCTAGTGAGCATCGCAAGATGACTTTTATTGTTCTTTCCAATTAGCCTTTATCTCTCCTCTCTCTTCTGAGATTTCCCTCCTCATAAATTGTCTTACATAACTTTTTCCAGATTACTATGCAAAGTAGCTACTATTCTATACAGAAAATATGAGAACACTACTACTTAATTTTGACCCAAAAATAGGTTTTAAGAAGTTATTCCTATGAGTCAATAACAAAGTAAATAGAATGGAAAATTTAATCTCTCATTCAACATTTATTTGTACAAGGTAATGTACATGTTTTCCAGATTTGTGAAATAAGCTTGTGAAAGGTGGCGTTCGACCCTTTTAGAGTTAGAAATATTTATGCTGCAGGAATCATGATGCTTTGCTGAAGCAATCTAAATTGCTTAAAGCCAAATTCCAACATAAAAGTTTGAAAGAAATTTTCATATATATACCTGATCTTCACGATAACACAAATAAAACCAAACACAACATAAATGAATAAAAGAAAAAGAGCTAAAATGAAACCAGCTATGAAAAGGCAGTCTTTCTCTGTTTGGAATAATATAGGATACTGGTCCACTATGGGGCTACATTTCACATTACTGTGCAATAAAGACAATCCCAAACCTTGTGTTTTAACTGAACAACTTTCAACAAACCTCTATGCATCTTACAAAAACACTGTCACCACAAAATAAAGGGCAAAATAGGACCTCTTGTTGCTTATCCATTACAAATACATGAGAGAGAGAAGGGAAAGAGGACAAAAAGAAGAGAGATATTTTTCCAAGAGAGAAGTTTAATCTCCATTATTGTCAAAAGAACAAAGGTGGAGGGGTTTTATCCCCTAAAACAAAGATGCCAAAAAACTTGGAAATATTTGTATTCCACACTTAGAAGTTACAATAATTTAAAAAATTATTTCCAATTACCTACTTCACTTACCGACTTATCTGTTCACCTCTCTCTGGTTTATAATTTCAATAGCTCATTGTAGAAATCCTAAAACCTGAATGGGGAATTGTTTCTCATCTCAATAACAAATATGCAAATCAATACATGCTAGAACAAAGTAAGTAAAAAAACATTAAGGTTCATATATCCTCTCTCCAATACACAGTGGACCAGCCAGTTACTTCCCTTTTAGCCTTGTTTCCAAGAAAAGAGAATTCCTGACAACATGCTGACACTCATTTCCTCCCACCTTGTCTCTTCTCCACTTCCTTCCCCTACTTCTGAACCTGCTGGTCAGCTTCCGTGAAATAACATATGGAAGCCTCAGAAGAATGTCTTTGCTACATGTTTAAAAACAACTTCAAGACAGGTAAAGAAAAGCCACGAAAGTAATAATTCATATGAAGTGCAGCTACAACATGAGCCCAAGAATTACCCTTTCTGTCTCACCTGCTGCTTCTGGACACCTTAGCTTCCAGATCCCTAGCCTGAAATCAGCCACAGCACATGTTCAGAGAACCCAAAATATCAGAAAAGGTTTTTATGAGAAATAAGAAGGGTGGAGTTTTTTGAGAAATAGGAAGAAAAGCCAACTTGAGGACTGCCTGAGAAGGGGAAATGATGGCAGGTATGGTGGAGGAGGCCTACATCATAGAAGGATATTTATAGTGTTGAGTGGCAGACTAGAGGAGGGAGAACATACCCGCAGAGAGGCATATTTCAGTAGACCTTTTGCTCCCAGAACACCTTGCTAGAACCATTAATTTAATATTAGGACAAAATTTGCAAGTACAATGTGTCTATCCATAAAAGAACACTACAAAAAGAGTGTTACAAATACCTTCAATATCCTCTGCATCTCCTAAACCAAATTCCTCCAATAGATCTGCAAAACAAATAAGTCATATACTTAACTAAATACTCCTATCCAGAAAGATTATGAAGCTAAACCCAGAACTACATGAAGTGAACATTACCTGATTTCTGCTGCCTTCTTTCAGGAGAGGTTTCGTTCATTTCCAAAACAGATTCAGGAGTCTTCAGCTATGAAAGACACAATCCAATGATAAAAAAAACAAATTCAAACTAACTACATACTATTTAATGAGCACAAGTAGTCAACAACATGAATAAAGAATTACCTGGGAATTGTTGGGTTTCTCCGAGAAGCCTAGATGCAAAAAATGGTTTGGAAAATGTTATTTTATTTAATTGATGTTATTTTTTTAATCCATTCAACATCAGCAGTTTCTGCAACTAAGTACTAGTTACAAATTTTATTTCATCAAGAGTACAATATCTAACATTTAATTTACCTCACCATAGGGCATTTGCACTAGTATATAAGAAATGGACAATGCATATTTCCTATTGTGCACCTCAGATTTAAAAGAATAATAATCACAGAACTATGACAATTCATGTGAAGCAATAAGGTCATGCTCATTAACAGAACAAGATCAAAATATTTAGTCCTTTTGAGGAGCTGAATCCTGCTTTCCAAAGGATTATTTCAGAAGTCAAAGCTGGTCTGCTGTAATGAATGATCATAAAACAGTCCAACAGCACTACGACCGTAGATATCCTACACGTGTTTTATGTTTGTAAGTATTTTCCTTTCCATTGGTGGCACAGAGAATGAAAGAAGTATATGAAATGTTACTAAGAATGGCTCCACTGCAAAATGTTTATATTAAAAAAAAAATCATTAAGAATCAAATAGTATTTGATTTCAGTAAACTAGGTGGTCTAGCAGTATGAAAATACCTTCCAAAGATTACCATCATCACCTTCTATTCCTTTTTCACAATGATTTTAAACTTATCTTAGTAGAAACATACAAAGTAGACTTCCATGACAAATACTCAACAAGTAGATAAATAAGCTCCCAGGAGCCTGTAAAGTTTTGCTTCCACCTTACTAAACTAAAACTGGATGAGCTTCTTCAGCCATTCTATTGTACCTCTACTACAAGGAGGACTGACAAACTATTTGCTATAGGCAAAATCCATCAGAAAAGTCTTCTACCCCAATAGCAAAACTTCCCTGCCATCCTACGCTCAAGATGCTCAAGTGACAGTGTCACAAACTACAGGCAGAAACCCTTAGCAACAAAACCTGGACATCTACTCACATTTTAGCACCTAGTCAAAGCACAACAGAAAGCTATCAAAAATTAAGCTAGGAAAAAAAAATCCTTAGTCAGATGATAGTTTTCTTCACCTACATTATCATCCAAGAATGATTAAACGTTCAGACACATCAGTCCTAAACCACATATACTTTCATCACCATGCAACAAGAACCTGAATGTAGAAAAACCCCAACAAATACGTCCAAAGAACATACAATGCAAACAAGACAACTTCCTTTACACGATGGCCAGCAAGCGCTGTGATAACTGGTGTTAATTAACAAATAATAAGCACTTCATTGCTATAGCGCACACACACACCATAGCAGCATTCTTAAGACAGACATTGATAAAAGTTCACTTTAGCCTATAAATGCTTACAGACAAACACTTAGTCCACCATGAAGTTACCATTGTCGCGCTCCCCTGAAACAGTCTGTGAGTATGTTCCATGTCTGTCTGCAGCCGGGAGTAACACACTGGATGGTACTTTTCTCAGACTTTCAGAATCCGTCTGTATAATCTAGAACACATGCATGAGAATTGAAACAAATACATTTTCAACTCATTTCTATGCAAAAAGCTCCTGCTAAGCCAAGTTGCATAGCACAGTATCAAGTATGTTAGAGATACAAAAACCTTTGATAGGACCAAAGAGCAACAAAGATGTTTAAGGGATTGGAGTATCTCCCTTATGAGGAAAGGCTGAGAGAGCTGGGGCTCTTTAGTCTGGAGAAGAGAAGGCTGAGGGGAGACCTTATTTACCCTTTTCAGTGGTTTCGAGGGATAGAACGAGGGGCAATGGGCAGAAGCAGGAACATAGGAAGTTCCACTCAAAAATGAGGAAGAATTTCTTTATGGTGAGGGTGACAGAGCACTGGAACAGACTGCCCAGGGAGGTTGTGGAGTCCCCTTCTCCGGAGATTTTCAAGACTCGCCTGGATGCAGTCCTGAGTGATGTGCTCTAGGCAATCCTGCTTTGGCAGGGGAGTTGGACTAGATGATTCCGTGACCCTTGGAAAGGACACATCAAGACACAGTATACTGGAAAACCACAGCAGTTGTGTGTATTTTGAGATCTCAGGGAAAAAGTTCACAACTCATTTAAACTATTCTGTCAAGTTGATAAACTGGACAGCCACAAAATAGAATTAACACAGTAACTCCAGATGTGGGTTGTGAATCAGTAACTGCAGGTCTGTAGCGATCCAACACTTATACTGAACCTGTACCTGGATGTTTGAGTTTGTGCTTATGTTCCCTAGGCGTGTATCCTGCAGTGGTGAGTAAACACACTGCTACTCCAAATCACAAGGGTGATATGTGTTGAACAAAAACTAGCAAAGTAAAGCTTACAGAAAATAAGGCTACCTAAAACAAACAAACAAAAATTTAATCTTGTATTTTTAAGAAGGGGGTGGGGAAGATTTTGTTTTTCCTCACAGGAAAATCCAGAGAGTGTTAGCTACAGACCCTGCTCATTTCTCATTTTCTTCTAGCCCATTACCACTGATGAAAGAGTTAAAAGGGAAAATACAGACAGTGTGTGTGGTATAGCTGTTGAACGTGACCTTCAAAAGGGCTGAAGTACACCTACAAAAGGTAGCAGGATCTATTCAGCAACAGCTAACCGTCTAGCTTGCAGACCCTCACGGCAACCACTGGCCAGGTCAGCAGAAGAGAGCTGTATGGTGAAAAAGCAACAATCCTGCCAGCGCCCACGAATTTTAACAGTAAGCAGCAAGAAACTTCTCTGCTTCAATACTAGAAACCAAACTCAAAGGTCAGTTGCTATGAGACCCAAGTTGTTAGCTTGGCCTAACTTCATCCCAATCCTAACTGAACAGCTGGCCTAGAAAAGTAGTATTTCAAGGGCCTCCAGTTACAAACATATTGCAGAAATAGCAAAAGAGGAAATAAGCCTCATCGATGGTAGGGCTCAAGTCAAAAGCAAGCTCTCAAGTGCTTCTGGATCTTACTTCTACTCTCCCTCCCCATCTCCTCTGGTGGGAACCCCCGTGTCCTTCACAGAAAGTACCTCAGAATCCCAGGGTGAATCCGCATCTTCCTCTTCCTCTGCTCCCACTGCTGGCAGGGTACCTACAAACAAGGTAAGAGGTGAGACTCTGAGTGTTCATATTTCACTCTGCTTTTCCCCATTAGTCAAGCCTCACATCCAAAAAGATGAGCAGTGGCTCTATTGCTGAGGACAAACTAAGAAGTGAGTGTTATTCAGGGTTTCTTCACACCCAGCCACAACGTGGTATTTCCTTTATATCCCCACCTTCTCTTGCGTCCTTTCCAGCAGAAGATGGCTATGCACAGCAGGTGACACAGCTACAAGCAACACCCAACACATGTTTGTGTAACATTCAGGAACAGACTCCAGCATGCTGGAGTTTAGGTTGCCTGCTCTCCAGCTATAGCTCCAGAATTTGGCATTTACTGCCACTTTCCACTGTACGGGAGGTACTGTGGAAACACTGTGCAAAACATCCTCACAGTAACATCAGCAAGAAACAATACTCCCTTTGTAGTGCTACCAGGAAAGATCTTCCTTGATAGGGAGTTGTTACCCTGCACCTTCCCAGAGGCTAAGCATTGCCATTTAAAAAATACAGTAGAGGCTTACAGCTCAAACAATCACCTCAAATGCATAAAACTCGTTTCTACCTCAGGAAGTTAACATCCAAATTTCTTCTCTAAGGCTTGGTCTCAGTGGGCTCCTGGCCAGATTAGACTACCTTCATTTCTCTGTTTTTAGCTATAGAAAGTAAAACTGATTCAGAATTCACTTGTGTGGAGGCATGTACATAAAGAAGGGTGAAGGAGCTGGGGACCTGTGAGGGCACCCATCCCAGAAGAGGGCAACTGCTCATTCCAACCTAAACTCTGACTACTTACACTATGCCAAATGCATGCTTATGGTAAAATGCATAGAGACAGAAGAGCCTGTCTAGGCACAACATTTGAATACAGCGGGTTCTGTCAGCCCCCCTGTGTAGCATTTGATCAGCAGCTACACATTCTCTGGTAACATCTACCACACCAAGCTACACTCAAGACAGGAAATGATCCTGCTCTGAGACCTGAGATAAGTACCAAAGTGCTCAACTCTGACTGAGCTGGTAATGCTTTCAAGCACACACAAACGTGGCACTGGAGAGACCTTCTACATTTTAAAACTGGACAAGGTGAGGCACTGGAACAGAAAAGCTTTCAGCTTGACTCAAATCTTTCCCACACTTCAGCCAAGAGCAATCACAGCTTTTCAATCCAACAGGATGGGCCAGAAAGGGGAATACTACTGTCTCACCCAAGACGCTTTAGGCCTCCTTCTCTTTTTCATCTGTGCATTTTGTTCAGATTGCTTCAGGGCGAACACAGCAACAAAAGCAACAATGGCACTTGCTTCATATAGCATCTTTTGGAATCCACTGCCACAATTTCAGTTAAGAATGAATGAAAAGGAACAAAAGCCACTTTCCTTCTCTGCCAACACCCCCTAGGATTCACAGCAAATTTTTCCCTTGCCTATCTCAGAAGTCAAGCACCATTTCAGTTCATTTACTGTGTATTAATATTTATAGAGGAAGAATTGGGATCAGTATTTACTAATGCATTTCTCTCACCAGCATTGTCTTTTGAAGCATCATGGACTTGATGACTGTCATTACAAATAGTATTTTTCAGATCCTCAACAACTGCAGTTTGTAGCTCTTCAGCGTCTTCCTTCTCCTCCTCCTCTTCCCATTCAGATGACTCTTCCTAAAAGAGATAGACCAAAACAGCTGGAAAGAGCAGAAACAAGCAACTGCTTCATCATCCATCAACAACTTCAAAAATACTTTTCTTGTATAAGAGAAAAGGGAAACTTTGTTGAGTTTTGTTTTACAAAGGCGTTTACAACGGAATCTATGTGAGCAGACAGCAATGCCTAATATCATAAATCTCATCACTGATTCTGCAAAGTCCCTTGAGAAACACTTCCTCGTATCAGTGTAACTCTACCTTCGTATAAGCTACACCATTCTGTAACACATTCCTTTTCTTCCCTGTACTTGGCTGCAAGGAAAGTAAGCAGCTTCCTGCTCTCAATCTTACTTTTTGTTTCCTCGCTTTCAGACATCACACCTTGAACTTTACTAAATGGCAGTAAATCTTCACAGATAAAATCTGTACATACAACTGAGAAAATTTTAATTGATTCCAGAAAAAGTCTACTGTCTATTCTTTTTCCTGCAAAACCACTGTAGCTAATAGAAAAAAAATATTGAAAATACTGCCTGATATTATTCTTATACCTAAGAAACTGCTTTGCCAAGGAGCATGTCATTTTCTAATACCAAAAAAAGATGATCAAAAGATGGATATATGTGAAGAGCAAGTATTAACAGAAATCCAGTTTACCATCTATTTCTTACCTATATCGCCCTTAGAAAAATACCCTTGTGATTGAATCAACCCTATATACTTACTTTGGTGCTTGAGTGAAACGCTGCTCTTAAATTTTCTTCACGCTTATTTAAGTGCAAGTTTACACTTTCTTGTTTCAGTGCTTCTTTATCATCTACTTCATCTTGCTCTTCTTCAGTATCTTCATCATCCACACATTCAAGACTGGCAAAGCTCGGTCTTTGATTTTCAAGTCTTGGGGTTTTTGCTGCTGACAAAGAATTATTATCACTTTCAAAGCCATCACCAGAGCTTGACTTTTTCTCCTTAAGACCACAACTATCTGTGGTCAACTTGTCTTGAATCAAGCTTTTCCTGTTCCAGCTTTCTTGTGTGTCTTGCAAATTATTTAGATTCTGAAAGACAGCTTGTTTTGGTACTGACTTGTAAGATACTTCATTATTCATTCTCTTTGGAGACATAGCAGTTATATTTTCTTGCAACCTTTCATAACACCCAGCTATAAAAGACACAGGAGTATCTATAGATTCCTCCACCTTTTCATTAAGTTCTTTACTAATCTTATCATCATCCCAGACAACTCCAGTTCCACACTGAGCTTCTCCTTCATACTTAGCATTACTAAAATACTCCAATTTCTGATCAATTTCCCCTTTAGGTTCTGTTTTCCCCCCTTGCTCCTCCTCCAGTATGTCATTAGATTGAGTTTCTTCATCTTCCAGATCTTCCTCCTCTTTTTCATCTTGAGAAAGATCTTCATCCTCCTCCTCTTCTTCCTCTTCCTCCTCATAATCTTCATCATCATCTCCGTTGTCCTCTTCATCATCTTCCTCCTCCTCCTCCAATTCTTCTTCTTCCAGGTTGCTTGCATCCGAGACATCTTGATTCAACAATTCTCTACATTCTCCTTTGTTCAGGTTTGCATCTGATGGGGTTCTTTGTTTGAGGGTTTTCTTTGGTGACTTAGGATTTTCAATTCTAGAACCATCACTATCATCTTAAAGGAAGAAAAGGGAAAATACATGTGAACAAAACAAGTTATCTAAATAGCAATAGGCATGTTACCAGATTAATGCACATTAGAGGAGTCACCTAGGAATGTCTGGAAAAGGAGCCAGGCAAGGAATGAGCAGGATGGAGAAAGGACTTGACCAGAGGACAAAGGCTTAGGAAGAAATTAATATCTTCATGATGATATGACTTAGTCATTTCAGAGAAAAAAGAAAAAGTGCCATCTTTTCAAATGCTACTTTTGTCATTTACTATAGTAAAAAAAAGTATTAAAAAACTACTTAGCAAATCTACTTTTATATATCAGTGTATGTCATGCAATCTTTTCTAAATAGCTTACTGTTTTTCCTGAACTGCTGGGAAGCATTCATTAGTAGTGTCAAGTTGGGCTTCTGCAGCTTCTGTAAATAAAGATTTATTTAAGCAAAAAAAAATAAATTATTATTTTAAAACAGTAGCAAACCCAAATCCTTTGTTCACATCAGATCAGGAAATGTAATCAGGCTGTCCTTTGGATAGTGCTCTGGTGCTCCATCCTACAGTTCTAACTACACAAACACCCCTCACATTTGCAATTCAGTGAGTATTTCGCCCCAAAACACTGTGCAGGCACCCTTCTGCAAATCGCTTCCAAAACTATGTTTACATGCGTAACAGTTCTAAAAATCTGGTTTTAGTATTTGTAATACTTAAGTAAAATTCAGATATATTTAAGGCTGCAGTTTCAGGATGCTTACTTGCAAATGTGCACAATGCAAGTAACTGTTAAGATCCCTAGACTTAATGCATAAATTAGTCTCTGCAAGTACACTTAGTTAAATACCCCTAAATTTCAAAATCATGCCAGAAAAATGCACCTTTTCTATTTGAATCAGTGCAAGAAAATGAAATCACGTTCAAACTAAACATGCTTGCATCTCCAGCTTTACAGAGTGGGTTTAACTACCACACTCAGGTTCCTCATCACTGCAGAATCCCAGTGCAACAGAACAGCTGCTCCAGACATCACTGCAGAACTTGTTAATCCTTCAAAATATTAGTAAAAACAGTAGGCGCAAGAGCTTGTAGCTGACAAAAAGAATACTACTCGAGCATTCAAAAAAAAAGAGGGAAAACATGCAGTGTGAGATTACATGCAAGCATGGAATGCCATCTCATAGAAGAAAAAAGAAAACCCATTTGAGTAACTCATCCATTGAGTGCTCTTGAGGAACCTGATGAGGAGGAAAGGAGAACTAGGTGATGAAGAATTTCAGTAGAATTTGATGAATACTTTTTCTTTATCAGTTAGGATTCTATCATCAAATTCTCAGGAAACAATGTTTAGAGAACAGAGTAGGTTATAACAGTAAATCGTGAACTTTTATGGTCTGCAAATCTGACTCAAATGAAGAAGAACAAACAAAACAGCGTGGTTGCTTATCTCGTCACCTACTGCTCTTTTGCCCCAAACCACAAATCTACTGCATGCTCTGCCACAGCTACAGGTCTTTTAGGAAAAACTCACAGCATAAGAAAGCCTGGCAGGTCAAAGACTGCTTCTAAGGAGAAAACAATATTGGCTGGAACTGCAGTTTCTTTCAATCCCACAGAAAAACTTCCTTCAAATCACTTATTTTTTACAGGGTATTTTTCCTGTAAAGGCACCATACCTTGGGGGTAAAATCAAGTTCCTCTTCCTCAGAAGTATGCCAACTGTCATCACTCCCCTCTTTCTCAGAGCTTCTTAAAAAGCAAAACAAAATGAGTACTTTGTCTCTCAAATAATTCTTCAGGTAAGCGTTAGGTATTTTTAAAGTCTCACCTTATTGAGTCTCCTTGGGAAAAGTCATCTATTGCTGTTCAAACATTAATTGATATGTTGAAATTAGTTTTGGCATGCTAAAAATTAACCAGGACATATAAACACTTCACATGGACAATTCTACAGGTTGTAACAGAATGAAACTTTGCATAGTCAGTTCAACACAAGACAGCATGAATAAATGCATTTCCAAAACAACTGCTTTTTCAAGCCATACTGAATTAAAAAAACAAACAAACAAAAACAAGATGAGAATTATATGTCCTTTGGACTCTTATGCCTAGAAGTTTAAGAAACATCTCTAAACTAAAAAAAATAGCATAGCATGATATGCTATGTTAGTAAACAGTTCAAAAAATGGTGGTGGTTTAGCAAGACAGTAAGTAAATGAACCTCTGAAGTATGTATATTACAGATACAAGTAGAAATCACGGGCCGAGATTTTACTATTTTATGTAGAATTATGTATAACATTATGCTATATACTACACTATCTGCTGCTCTATTCAGTTACAGATTATTCTCAAAAGGTAAATAAAGTCTAAAAGCATAATCAAGATCTAAAGCTTATGCTCATCTAGAAGAATCACCAGCAGTCTTCTACACTGCACCAAAAAAAGACATTCAACAGACAAAAAGAGGCATAAGCAGGGCATTCTGTACTACACTCCAAGCTTTCATCAGTGTTAGGAAGGCACTTGCACGTAGGATCATAGGATAAATCAGGTCAGAAAGGACTTCAGGAAGTCTCTTAGCCAACTGCCGCCTCAAAGCAAGCTCAGCTATGAGGTCAGACAAGGTTGCTTAGGGCTTTATCCAGTCTGGTCTTGAACGCCTCCAAGGAGGGAGACTGCTTATCATGGTTGCTGTCCTTATCATGGTGAAGCTTCTCACATCCAATTAGAAACTCTCTTGTTTTATGCCCCTTGCATCTCTGCCTCCTGTCATGCACCACTGGGAAGCACCTGACTTTGTCTTTCTTGTATGTACTGGAAGCTGCTGCTAGGTCCCCTTCAAAGCTGCCTCTTATCTAAGCAAAGAAGCCCGGTTTCCTCAGTCTCTCCTCAAAGGGCAAGTACTCCTGCCCCTGATGAGTTTGATGGCCCTTCACTGAACTTGCTCACTGTAGGATCTCTCTTGCACTGGGGGCTTAAAATTATACCCAGGGAGCTGGACACAATCCAGTGAGTGCCCGGTAGGGGTGGACAACCACGTTCCTTAGTCTCTTGGCTGTGCTGCTCTTAACACAGCCCAGGACACTGTTGAAGTTCTCAGTTGCCAGGATACCCTGTGGGCTCATTCTCAGCTCATTCTCTGGCAAGACCCTCTGGGTCTTCTCAGCAAAGCAGCTCCCCAGCCAGGCAGTCCCAGCATGTTTTGTAGCAAGCACTTGTTCCTTTCCACGTGCAGGACTTGGCACTTTCCCTCGCTGACTTTCTTAAGACAGGCCCAACAGTCCATTTACCCCAGCTTGCCAAGGTCCCTTTGAATGGCTGCGCTGCCCTGAAGCGTATTTACTGATCCCCCCAATACAAGGCATTGGCAAACTCGATGAGAGTATGCTCTAGCACATCACTGATGTACTTATGAAATCTGAATGCGAGGAATCCAGCCTGAAGAGCACTAAAGCCTCTTAACTACCAACAACTAAGATGAAATAAAAGGGCTCTTCAATTCCCAAGAAGAAGGGAAAAAAACCCAAACAAATATAACCTCCACATAGGAGCTATTTCAGTGTTTTTCAAGTTCTCAATAATTAATTTTTGTTACCTATCATAAAAAAATGAAGTTGCTTATAAACAAGAGATCAGTGACCTTCCATAAAGTCACCGGAAGACAACCGAACTGAGATCTTGGACAAAATCATTAAAGGGAAAAGGAAACAAAGGCATATCATGCCTGAAGACATCTCCTCTAGTATCAATAAACCACAAATGATCATGGAAATTTTGTCTGTCCTAAAGACAGTGTTTATGTGGGAACTTTGATGAGTGCATCTTCTGACCTGAACATGAAATACAGTGTACATGTTCAGTGTAGACATGTCACGTAGACAAAAAATACACTGAAACTTCCAGTGTGAGGACAAGCTAAAACAGTTAAAATACTAACACAGTCTCTGATTTTGAATGTTTCCTATTACAAACACATAATATTAAAAAATATTAATTAGTTTACATACCACAGTTTCCTGTTAACTCACTTGGTACCAGCAGTCTAATCTACCCGCTAACCTCCCAAGCTGAATAGAAGTCTGTTTCTTAGAACTGGGTGGATAGCATGGAGCAGTCAGTTATAAACTCATAACAGGTGACGTTTTCAATTAGTACACTTATAATTAATCAAAACAGTTGAGCAAATTATATGAACTTTTGCTTTCAGTGTATAGTAACTTTAAGCAATGATCAAAATCAGGTCACATTGTCCTTTAGAAGGCAAGATAGGAAGTTCACGAGCTAGGCTTTCAGACAGATCTTGATGCTCTACCATATAAATAGGATCCAGAAAAGTAGTCTTTGGGGATTCCTTGTTTCCACTTTAACTGAAGTCCATTTCCATTTTGGAGTAACAGAAGAACATATTTGAAAAAGAATTATTTACTGTCACTAATGACACAAAGCAAACACTCAGTGCTATAATAAAGCACTCATGCAAAACATGCAAACAAATAAAAAGCACCCAAAGCCTGCTCTCAAATCTAATTTATAAAGCCAGAACTATCAAAATTAGGGACATCCAGGATCATAGATGTGTTAATATTTGTATATCATACAACATGTTTCATATTTGAAATGCTACTGTACAGAATACCTTTCCTTGATTTTCCTGTTCTTGATGTCTGGTTAGGAGATTGTTGCATTCCTATATCCATTTAGGAACAGGCATGGAAAGGACAGATGAAACAAATGACATCAGAATAAATCTGAATTTCCAGATATTTGAAAACATAAGCAGTACACAAACAAAGCTATAGCAATGGGACTGTCAGCTACTGTGACTATCAGCCTAGTCTACAGTTATAAACGCTGGAAACAAAACCAACCACAAGCCACAGAACTCCACTCTTAAGGGACAGTGTCAAACAGCATATTTTAAATTTACTTGCTCCACATAGAATACCCACATTCCAATATTTTGAAATACTGAAACAGATTATCAGAAATTTACTCTACTGCCAACTTTGCATTTCCCTCAACTTTTTTAGCACAAACTGCAAATGCAATTCCTTCATATTTGTAGAGTGCTTTATACACACAGCACACTTAAAATCCCTCCCTCTAGACATCCTGAAAATCCTTAGGTGTCAACAACTAAACTTTGGAGATACACTATTCAGAAATTTGGAAGGAAATATTGGCTCGAAGTACTCACACTACCACACAACTTCTAGCCATTATGTTATTTACACTCACTCAAGGTACAGTTTCAGCATGTTTTTTCTCCCTCTTTAGAAACACAACCCAGCAACCTGTTGCCTTAACTGTCTCACCTTAAAAGTTGTGTCAGTTGGTGCCTGATGCAAACATGGGCCTCTCCTACTTCAGTTTGAAAAGAGTACTGCTTATGTTGATTTGACCATACAGAAGCTATGTCACCAGACAGAAAGCAAATGTGACAAGCCATCAGAACGAATGCGCTGTTCCCCCAGCACTATACAGCAGGTCACAGATGGACCAAACATGGGTGCATTGAATGGTGTGTCAAGCATGTGCATCTGTGTCCACTTGCACGTCTGTGTGTTGTGGAACAGAAGTTTTAGAATGTAAGTCCCTATCTGCCTGCTCTACCCATCCTGCTTAAAATATAAAAATTTACTAAGTCAATGAATGGTGTGGTTCTGTTATTGCAGCTACCCGACACCAAATTTCTTCGTGACAAGGCCATAAGACTTGTCTCAGAGCAGAAGGGAGTCCTGCTCATATTGATTTTACCACTAATACAAGGAATGGATACGGCAAAAGGACTCCTATTAAAAAAATATACACTTAAAATGTTAAGAAAGGACCTCAAGATGGTTTCTGATCTCTTCTACATATCTCAGTTTTCTTAAAAGGTGATATAAAACAACTTTTCCTGAGGAACAATGTGAGATGATGTAACTCACACTGAAGCCCTCGTTTCTTTTCATCATTTTTAAGAAAATACTAAAGGAGCAATATGGTAATATGCAGTAAAATAGCCAAAAAAATGGTGCCACCGCAGACATACTAGAAACCTGAATCCCTGCTTTTAGAAAAATGGCATGATTGTCATGCTTTTGCCAAAGAAATTCCAACTTCAAATCTCAATAGTCTGTCTTTCAATATGTTAAGGCTGGAAGCCATTCATGTGGAGGTTTTTGCAAACCTGTCTGTGATTAATAAAAAGGTTCATGTTCTGACAAAAAGTAAACAATCAAATAAGCAAAAGCCAACTTCTTAAATATGCTGACTTGCTCATTAAAGGAAAATATTTTGAAGCCTGTTCAACAAGTGCAAAAGCAGCAAAAGGAGTAAGGACGACACTGAAGATCCCAGAAAAATAGTTCAGGAGAGTGAAAGAAAAGAAAGAATTCCAAAGTGGGTGTTTCTCTGGTCTCTCAAGATCATCCTAGCTTCCCTTCTAACAGAGGCTTCAAAGCCTGTGACTGCAACATATCAAAGGGACTCTCATGATGCACCTGTGCTTTGTGGGTGAAAGCCAGGGACTGCAGAATTAATGCCAATAAATGTTCCCTGTATGCTACTGATCTCCCTCGCTCAACATGCTGCGGTCATCTTTTAAGAGAACGAGCAGGAGGAGAAAAGGATTCATACTATTTAGAAGAAAACCAAGGCCCCCTAGAAACAGCCTGAAAACAGAGCATACTCTTTCTCCTCCCAAGTCCTTAACCCACATAACATTCTCTTCACGCTTATTATGCCTCTCCAAATGAGGACAATAAGTAAAGATTTCCCATAATATTTGGAGCTTATATTAGTAGTATTATAATTTTCAAGGAACGGGGCAAATTATTTGGTTCAAGAACCCACACTTCCCTGAGGGTAAGTCAGTTTTGGAATAACACAACAGTATTATTCTTCAAGCCACATATTTTAAAATAACCCAGGTCTGTCAGCCATTACAATGTGGTACCACAGCAATTATCTACATGCACAGACAGCAATAACAGAGCATGCTGTTTAAGTGGAAGTAACATTTTGCTGATTAAACTACCTACACCAAGCCCTTTCAAAAAAAAAAAAAAAAAAAAAAAAAAAAAAAAAAAAAATTTTGCACAGCCTTGAAGAAAGCCCCTTTTTATATCTGCGAACTGAAAAAAGGGCAAGAAGAAGAAGAAGGGCTGCCTGTTTATTTACCAGACTTCCATGGGGGTGTTCGTGTAGACCATTCTGTTCAACTCTCCCCCCAAAAAATTAATCAGGAAACAGGAAGAAACAAATGTGGTCCTGGAACTACTCAGGATTTGAGTCTGGAGAGCTGGAATTAATGGGAGCATGTAGTGAAGAGGCAGAAAGACTAAGATAGGTATTGTATATTACCGGTGCTGTTCTTCTGACGACTCTCTTAATTCTGTAAAATAATACAGATCCAAAGCAACATACATCAGCTGCAATTATGCTGTTTGGACAATTCTCTCTTAGCACGTGGAGGTGTGTGCTGACACCCACTGTGCCTGCTGACTATGTACTTTCTCCTCAATTTGTGGACAAGAGCTCTAATTCTATGTAAACGATGAGCTGAAACACAAGTCAGAGTAGCAGACGTCTTTCACTTTCTGTTTCTGCAAATATTACATGATAAAGTCATATTTTGTGAAACCGTGCTTTATTTCTACAGTAGAGATGCAAATTCTCCCTCTCAACATACACCAACCTTGCAAAAAAAAAAAAAAAAAAAAAAAAAAAAAAAAAAAAATCAAACCAACCCAAACCTTCCAAAACCAACCAACCAAAAAATCCTCCTTAAATCTATCAAGAAACCTTACAAACCTCCAACTAGATCAAAGCAACAAGTCAAAGGAACGAAGTTTGACTCCAAATTCCCATATCTGGGAAAAGTCAATGAGGAAAAATATCTCAAGTTTTGCTCATATTTCTTGACATATTTAAAGAAGGAGTAATGAACTGTGTTTGAGCACTGTCTGCTGCCTATTTGCCACATAGTTATGATGTAACACCCTTAAAAACAAGAAAGAATAAAACCTCCCACTGTAGGGACTGAGAAGCAAAGTACAAGACAAACAATTTCATTTATGTTAAAATATTACTTTTCCAAGATTCCTCTAGCACTATGTGAGCATAGCCTGGATTTTAAAAACTCACTGAAGGTGTTAATTTTTTGATCACAAAGCAATTTGTTTTTTCTGGATCACAAGGTAGTATGGATTTTTTTAAAGTTTACTTCATAAAATTTCTAGAAGCTGAAGAAAAACAGTATTTTTATTGTTATCAAACTATGCCCAAGAAGATACAGCATACACAGACGCTGCAATGACGACACTGTCATTGCTACAAAGTTACTTTTCCAACACAGTTTTTCATAAATATGTCTCTACAGCACCTTCACAGAAATAATTGTAACTGATGCTGACAAATAAAGCGACTCACTAGAAGGACTTTAGGGCATGTGAAACTAGCAATATTAAAACAAAGACACACAAACTCAGTGGAAATCAACAAGACATGTATCTTCCTGTTAACTCATCTGCTACTTCCCAGCCACAGAAAGATGAACTACTGTTGTGAAAATCCAATTGCAAAAATCTCAATGGCCATCTATAGGTAAAAAGTACACACCTGAAAAACCAAACCACTGTTATCTAGTTCCCTCCTTGTGCCCCTTCTCTCTTTCTATAGGAAAACCCATAAAGATGGGCAATCTGACAGGCAGAAGGCAACAACCTTCTGGACACATAGCACACACATCACAACTGCCTTCACAGTCTGACAGGAAGCACTGCCAACTAGCAACAAATAAGGACATTCACAAAACTTCTTGTGCTACTCCATCTGACACCTCTGGTAAAGTCAGCAGTGGACACAATAAGCTTTAACAATACAAACCACCTAAAGAAAAGGCCATAGTGGTTTTCCCCATGAGCTCTTCCATGGTTAAGGATCCTACCTCCTCTGTCCATGGCAGGTGCACCCAACGTAAAGCCAGCAGCTCCCACCCGGCGAGGAGTGCTCAGTACCGTGGTGCCTTGTGCACCACCTGCAGAACCTTCTCCTGTGTTTTCCCAGTCTGTGTATTCTGCCAGTTGTTTACTAAGACTATATCGAGAAAAAAAGAAATATATTTGGTAAAAATAGCCACATGCTTGCATATAACATTTAACAGAACAGCCAATTTTACCCATCCTATACATATTCATAGCCATATGAATCTATACACTTATATGCATTTGCTAAGGGTAATACACACAGCACCTACCGTGTGACTGTTACACACTTCAATATTCACTACAGTCATGTTCATTCTAGAGATGCATATTCATACCTACAAAGTTATTAACTCCTGCCTGGTACATCTTTTTCAGCCTAGCTTTTAAGCATACGTAACCACCTTAAAGAAGGAATTGCCACAGGTACAAAGCTATGCACAAGAAGAGTAAAACTGCTCAAGATTTTAACAAAAGGGGTATCAGTCTGATCTCCTCTGAAACAAAAGGCTGTAGTTCCTGGTCATTATAGTGGACATCAGTGAGGACAAGGGTGCTGGTCTGGGGACAGGGTTTACATGCATTTCAGTTTGCCAAGTTCCACCTCCGGATAACTGTAGGATTCAGGCACTTTTTAGAGTTTATACTGGGCACACGTGAGCTTAGGAACAAAGCCTGCAATCTCACAGAGAAACCTGGGTGTAAGTTTTCCTCAATTTCCAAATTAGCACTGGACACAGAAGTGATAAATATCAGAATAATCATTGAGCACAGCTTCAAGACAGGTTTCAACACACCATTAAACCTTGGTGCTGTTACCAAAAAGGTTCAAAAGCCATACTGATAACTGACAACTTATTCTAATGATAAAGTAAAACATTCACCTAGAATATCCATGAATAACAGCATAATCCTCAGCTGTCCATCCATTAGTGTCTTTATGGGAAACATCAGCACCATACCGAAGAAGAACTTTAATCAAATTAAGTTCCCCACCAGAGGCAGCAGTCATAAGTGGGGTTCTGAAACATCCAAAATATGATATAAAATAGATTATTTTACACAGACACTGTAATTATTTTTACTCCTGTTTGCTCTCAAAAAAAAAGTATTTTCCCCCATTACTTTAAAATGAACAAAAGACAAAGCAATATTCATTATTAAGAGCGACGATAAAATGGGAGAGGGAGACGTAACAACCATGTGTTCAATCTTCAGACAAAGCTTCCACATAGACAACACTTACAAACTACGCTGCTATGCAGGAAAGGGTTTTTTGAATTGAGGCAATACTGCTGAGCTAATGGGCACATTTCCTGCCAGAAGAGCCACCAGACACAATGCCTTTTTGCGATCTTTAATGTGAAAAGCATCTACAGAAGTATGACAGCAGTCAAGTGCAGACCTGCTTTCACAAGTCACGTGGAAATAACTCCTTCTTTGTGGCTCCCTGGTTTTTTTTTAAAGCTCATTCCCATACCTCTCAATCTAACCTAAATAATATTAGAAACACCGATGCAGTGTTTTGACAAATACCTAACCTTTCACACTGATCTCGAGCATGCACATCAGCTCCTTTTCTAAGGAGAAAGTCTACCATCTCTTCTTGATGTTCAGAGACAGCAAGAATAAGCGGGGTATATCCCTCCTGAAAGGGCAGATAAATAAACCAAGTTAAAAATCAAAGTAAAAAAAATCTTCAAAAGAAATACTAATGCAACTCTTTGAAAGAGCTTCCTTAACAAATATAAAATATTACCTTGTTCTGAGCATCGATACTGGCATTATGCTCAAGTAACAGTCCTGCTATAGATGTATTAGGAGATACGACAGCCAGGTGAAGGGCAGTGTTGCCATCAGCATCTGCCAGATTCGGGTTGGCACCATGGTCTAGCAGAATAGCCACACATTTTTCTTGCTGGCACTGTACTGCCTGGGAACAACACAGAAAAAAAGGAAAAACTTCCAGCACTCACATTCCACTCTGCTACAATTCCCTCAGCCTCCCAATGCTAAAAAGAAATATAATAAGAGCACCTTCAAAGATTAGCTAGTGTATTCCTATTCCATGCTAATTACAATATGAATTTTCTGCATGGGTCTAAGTAAAGAATCCTGCAAAATATTTATTATGCATGAAATAATATGTAAGCTCCACTTGCAAGAATATAACTTATTCCACATACCTTCATCAGTGGTGATCTGTTATCATTGTCAAAAAGATTTAGATTACACTTGTTTTCTACTAGATATGTAACGATATCCGCGTGACCGTTTGCACAAGCGAGATGCAGAGGTGTCCTAGAAATTAAATATATTAAATTAGCACAGACAGGCAACTAACGAAATCATTTCAGGCTAAGATAAATGGATACGGCCACAAGTTTCACTTTGCAAAAAGCATGCTTTAGAAAGGATTTCTCATTCCATCACCAGTAACAGCAGTTGCACACCAAATGCCTGAGGCTGGCTAGCAAAAACTCCCCAGAGAATCTGATAACTAAGATGAGATTTCCTTCACTGTAGAACTGAATCTGCAAAAACAAATTCCTGTGCCAGGCATTGGTCACTGCCTCCAGGAGGACTACACACATGCCACAGCAACAGAGATCAGAGCCTGGGAACCTGAGGACTGTGGCAAGTAAACTTCTAAGTTCTTCCATGATCGTCCACATGTCAGGAGTAGATCAGAGATGTAGCAAATGGATTTTATAGCAAGAAGATTAGTGTTGCCCTGCACTTTGAGAATTTCTGCTTTTTCTGTAGCTTGTTTACTTCTGCAGCAAGCATAAGAACACACTTCACCAAAGCACCTCTGATAACATGTAGCAAACCAGGCAGCAGAACACTGTAATCCTGACCACAGGAAAGTAATATTTGACCTTCCTGATATGTATAACTACCACAGTCATAAAAAGCCTACTACAGAGGAAGTCCTCTACAAGGAGGGAATACTGTGTATCCACAATACATGACCAGTGTATGAAAAGGAAACTTTTTTTTTTGTTCAAGTTAAAGCCAGAAAGACAAGGGCTCCTTCAAACCACAGAATATCTTAGGTCTGGTATCAATTTAATCAGCCTACTTGTACCCAAAGGTACAATCACCCATAAAGTCCTTGTGTATGTTTCCCCCTAAATGACAGGCACAAAGCAGCACAAGACTTGCTCTGTGCAAAAGGCAAGGCACCTGCTGCCCTGCAGGACACCTGTCCCAACAGAGCAGGAGATAAGCTAGAAAACAGCTGGAATCTTCCTCCCTTGAAGGGGAGACAATAAAAATTCTACAGTTCCTCAAGAACTGAGAAGGATGGCAGCATCAATTTTAACCACATCACTGTGTGTAGGTCCTTCTCCATATTTAGGAAAGCTCAACTAACCTTGCAATCATTTTGATACCTTGCTGAGAGACAGGGGCTCACTGGCCAGGTGGGAACCCAAAGTGAGAGGTAAACAAATGTGATGCAAAACCACAGCAATTTGTAATGCGGATAATTCTTGTTACAGGGCAGTTGATGAGTCTCCTCCATGGCAACAAGGACAACAAAACCACACAAAATTTCAAAGAACTTGTAATGTCTTGCTACGGACAGGGAACAGACTGAAGCTTCAACAGAAGAGTACCTCAAAGGCAACTACCATTACTTTTAGATAAATTCCCTTGTAAGTATGCAGGATCCTTCATCTCTGAAGAAATGACTGACTGAGATCATTTGAAAGCTAACCAGAACTGGTTATGATGGAGTCCATGATCATCTAAAAGCTGCTACTACCAAGCACTAGGAAACATGACAAACCTGTAGAAATCACTATCAGCTTTGCAAATGGAAATGCCATCAGAAAACCTGCAGATTCAGTTCTGTCCTCCTCAACCAAGCCTCTCAGTCTGCTAACAGGAAAGGAGCAAGGCCTGTTTAGCTCCACAGAAGATCCATTTCAGGTAACAGGCTTGCAGAGAACATCTGTGTTCACAGTTGCCTGTACGTGCAAAAGGCCTCCAGCAACACCAGAGTTGTTTTGCCCCCCAGCCCTGGGAACCCTGCTCAGACTCTGCTGCTCCTGCTGCTGCAATCCTATGCTGATCACCCACGGGGCAGAAGAAGACTGCTGATGCCTGAGCAGCTGCAAAACAGTCCCACTGGGAGATCACGGGGAAACAGCAGGTTGACCGCACGCACCTCCAACAGCACTTGAGCCGACGACTCAGCAGCTACAAGCTCAGCAATGAAAAGCTCTAGAGTTCACTCTGACAGACAGCTGACAGGGTAAATCTCTTAGCGATTAGCTTTGACCCTGGATTCATGACTAGCTGGCATTGTGCTAGTTTTGCCCATCTCTTTCTGCAAGGCTGAAAGCTTTGCTAAGTCCACCTCTGAAAGGCTGCCTGCTCCTAACTGATGCTATTTCCACTGATCAGCTCCTGCTGATGTTTTTGGAGGTCCTGTGGACTACAGGACCCACTTTATGCAAGGAACTTGCAGGTGTGATTCTTGCCACGTGCAGGGTTTCATTTTTGGAAATCCTCAGGAGCAGAACGGAGATATTCATATGAACAATGCACACATTTTAGCCATTACCAGCCACATTTCCTATTCTTTACATCCATTTCCAATGATGACAAATCTTCCAGTCCCTGGAAGACACAATGAAGCTCTGAAACACAATTGCATCCCATGGTCACTCATGACACATATCACACCCACAGGCCCTAAGAGAGCATAGGTGGGCCTGCAACCCTCATAGCTGCTATAGTACACAGGGGCTGCAGCAAGCAGGCAGATTCTGTCCTCTGAATCCCTCTCAGGTAAGCTTTTCAGCACTGGGCATTGTCATGCCAAAAGCATCGCAGTTCTATATCATACGTAAACTACTTTGTCTCTTATGTTGTGTTTCTTTTTTTTTTTTTTTTTTTTTTATTTTTTTTTTTTTTTTTTCTGATCTCTTTATTTCAAATTACTTTTTAATGTAAGTATCCTTCCCTGAACACAGCGAAATGGTAAGCTACAACCTGAATTTTTTTTTTTTTTTTTTTTTTTTTTTACATTGTATTACTTTATTTCCCCAGTTATAACACTGATAAAAGCATAACACACAGAAGGAAACCTTTCCAGAGGAAAATAAACTTTCTGGATAAGATGAACTGCAAATGCAAAAACTAGGCAAGTTTCATGCCAGGGTCTGCTAAGACCTGATGACTGACTGAATCAACAACTGTGAAAGAGATGGTAGTAAAAAGAAAAAAAGATAAACATTCAGCAGCTATTTCCATAAATGTCTGATTCCTGACATTTACGTACCCTGATTCAGGCAGCTGGAGTACGCACAAAATGCACTCAATCCATCTAAAACTGCATGCCCCATCTCCAGCTGCAGAAGTAAATACTGACTGGCCACACTCAGGCACACAACCCACATCACTGAAGTGCATGCTTACTGAGCTCTTCCTTGCTTCTCCTACAGATCTAGGTGGTTTTAGGTGTTTTCAGGACAATAAGTCAGCTGGCTGGCAAAAGTTTGGTCTTCAGGATAGACAGTCTAGGAAGCTGGGCTACTTTGATAAAACCAGCATCTCTTCAGAACATCATGAAGGTTTTGACTCTGAGTCTTTTCAGAAAAGGCATTAAAGGGTTGACACATACAAAACCTCAAAACTTCAGCTGATTCCCTTATGCTTACGATGGATCACTATGCTGCATCTGTGCTTGACTCAAAAGCCCACACAATAACACCTGCCAGAAGAAGCAGCTTCTCCTGCAAGTGACTGTCCAGATCTTCGAATCCAAGGTATCGATTAGCTGTACCAAAGCCTTGGAGCAAAAAACTAAGTAATGGCACCTAAAATCAGACTGTTGCTTTAGCTGCTACATCACAGTCACAAAAGGCACAACAGGCAGCTGTGCACGCAGCATCATGAAACAACAGTTCAAGAAGGAGTGGAAAGTACTGGAGAGAGATCAGTGGAGGGCTACAAAGATAATGGAGCAAAGATGATAGGCTACAAAGGAAATGGAGTATCTCTCTGATGAGGAAAGGCTGAGAGATCCAAGTCCATTTAGTCTGGAGAAGACTGAGAGAGGACCTCATCAATGCTTATAAATATCTAAAGGGCGGGTTTCAAGAGGATGGGGCCAGACTCTTCTCAGTGGTGCCTGATGAAAGGACAAGGGGCAAAGGGCACAGGCTAGAACAGTGGAAATTCCATCTCAACATGAAGAAAAACTTCTTTACTTTGAGGGTACCAGCGCACTGGAACAGGTTGCCCAGAGAGGTTATGGAGTCTCCTTCTCTGAAGATGTTCAAAACCCGCCTGGAGGTGTTCCTGTCCACCCTGTTCTAGGGGCACTTGCTTCTGCAGTGGGGCTGGACTAGATGATCTCTGAAGGTCCCTTCCAACCCCTATAATTATGTTATTTGTTATTCTGTGATTCTGTGCTGTAACTCTTTCCTAACTGCAGTGCGGAGAACCTCTCCTTAAGTTACTCACAGTTGAGGCTTTCTCCGCTCAACCGCTAAACCTAGATGCCGAGTTCTCAAAGATGCCCAGTGATGGATGAGATCACACCCTGACTTCAACGTGTGGCTGGAGAACGGCCCTGAGGCTCCTTCTGCCACCAACCTTGGCCAGGCCGCGGCCAGCTCCCCTCCGCTCCTGCAGCCCCCGGGCAAGGAAGCACCGCTCCGGGCATGAGAGCACTGGGACAGAAAGTGTCAGGGGACAGCCGCCCGCCGGGCCGAACTCGAGGGTTTGGGGCAGCCCAAGCCCCGCTCCCGCACCAGCCGAGGGCCGAGCTCGGCTGCGGAGCCAGTCCCGCCGCTCCCGGCAGCGAGGCGGCCGTTCGCCCCCATCACGGACCTGCCGGAGGCCACAGCCCCACCAGGGCCTCCTGGCTGTCCCGGGACCCCCTACGCCGCCTCAGCGCCGCTGCCGCCCCCTTACCGCTCCGCCTTGTCCCGCTCGTCGATGCGGGACTTCTTCAGCCCCTGCCGCACCTGGGCCAGGTCGCCGCTGGCGGCCGCCCGGTGCAGCTTGCTCAGGTCCTTCTGCCGGAGCTCGTAGGCACCGGCGGGGCTGGGCAGGGAGGCGCTGCCCGACGGCGGCTGCCCCTTCTTCTTCCTCCCGAACCCGAAGATCCTCTTCATCCCGCCGCTGGGACGCGGGCACGGTCCCGCCTCAGGAGCGCTACGGCGGGAGGCACCCGGCGGGCTACGCTGGGCCCCAGGGAAGGAGAGAGGAGGCCGCAGCAGCGGCCTGGGCCCGGTACGGCTGCCGCGGAGCGAACCGCCGACGGGCCGGCACGCCGAGGAGCGGGTCGCGCCCCCGGTAACAGCGGCGTCCCCCGCCTCCAACGGAACGGCGCGTCGCGTCGCGCGCAGGCGCGGTGGGCGCAGCGAGGGGGGGCCGAGGGCCCGCTCTGCCGGCGGGTCCGCGCATGCGCGGCGGCGGCGGTTAGCGGGGCGGGCGGGTGTCGTGCGGGATGGCGGCGTGTGTGACATTAAAGTTAATTGCTGGTTCGCCCGTGTGAGTTGTTTGTGTGGCAAGCCGTGGGTGATGTCGCTTGCTTCCCCCTCGGGCTGTGACGGCGGGTCGGAGGCAGAAGGCAGCTGGACTTGGCCCTGCCGAGCGCGGCGGGGGCCCTGGGGGGCTTCTGCGCCCCGCAGAGTACTCGGGGACCGCCGCTGTGGAGCTGCTGGGGGTGCTGGCGTACCTGGCAGCAGCAGTTCCCCGCTGGTCCCCAGCATGGTCTGGGCCACCAGCCCATGGGGCAGCTTGGCCCATTTTGCTTTGAAAGCAAATTTGGGGGAGGGGGTGTTGGTGGATGAAAAGCCCAACGTGAGCAGACAATGTGTGCTGGAAGCTTGGAAAGCCAACAGCATCCTGGGCTGCATCAAAAGAAGTGTGGCTAGCAGGTTGATGGAGGTGATTCTGCTCCTCTACTCTTGTGAGACCCCACCTGGAGTGCTGTGTCCAGCTCTGGAGTCCTTAACACAGGAAGGACGTGGACCTGTTGGAGCGTGTCCAGAGGAGGACCACAAAGACAATCAGAGGGCTGGAGCACCTCTCCTATGAGGACAGGCTGAGAGAGTTGGGGTTGTTCAGCCTGGAGAAGAGGAGGCTCCAGAGAGACCTTACAACAGCCTTCCAGTACCTTAAGGGGGCCTACAGGAGAGATGGGGAGGGACTCTTTGTCAGGGAGTGGAGCAATAGGACGAGGGGTAATGGTTTTAAATTGAAAGAGGGAAGATTTAGATTAGCTTTTAAGGAAAGATTCCTTACTGTGAGGGTGGTGAGGCACTGGAACAGGTTTCCCAGGGAAGTTGTGGATGTCGCTTCCCTGGAAGTGTTCAAGACCAGGTTGGATGGGACTTTGAGCAACTTGGTCTAGTGGGAGATGTCCCTGCCCATGGCAGGGGGCTTGGAACCTGATGGTCTTTAAGGTTCCTTCCAACTCTAACCATTCTATGATATAGAAGGTGCTAGTGTATGAAAATGCAGCAGCATGTGAAATTACATCATGCTGAAGGAGTATAATTGTAAGCGGATCAGTACAGCTATGAGTGGAGAAAATAGTGAGAGGCTAGAACAGTTCCCTAATTGACATAATACAGCTGGTGTTTGTGAAGGGATGCTATAAGGGGCTGCCACCTCCAGCAGTTCCCGTGTCCTCTTCCTCAGCCGCAGAGTAGAAAGCTCAAGGCTGAACTTTTGTGGTTTTTCAGGGGTCAGCACAAGGAAGGTGTGATTTAGTCCTTACGTACTGTGAAGGACTAAAATCTATTACTCAGCAGCTAGATTCACGCAAGCTGTCTTTCCTTTGACATGCCTGTAGTGGCCCTAGCACGGCCCTAGTGCAGGTGAGAGTAGGTCCTCATCAATCTGCTTTTTTTTGTGTCATTCTTCTTTGCAACACCTTCCAAAGGCTGTTAAGCCGAAGAAGTATGGAAAGGGAATTTTGTTGGGAAGAAAGTTTGCAGGTGCAAAAAGAGGATGAATGTGCTCTGTGCCAGATGAAATGAAGCTTACCAGTAATATGGTCCTCTGTAGTGCACCTGCTACAGGATGTATGGCATCCTTGCTGCCGTGTAACTTGCGAGCCTTGCAATCATTCAGCCCCCAAGGACAGAGATGCAATGGCAGTAGGAATCACTGCCCAGCCTAGTGTTCAAAGGAGATGGTGCCACGTAGATCGGGAGATAGGTTGGGAAATTTGTTACCCAGTATGTTTGAGAAAGAAATCTTATAACACTGTCACTGTGGTAGTTAGTGTTTGGTACCAGTGTTTACCCAAGTGACCCTCATAGCGCAGTCTGTCCCCAGGTTTAGGGTGGGTGAGGTAATTTTGTGTTGGTTACGTCTCTGTCCACATTCTGTGGTTCATCCCATAATCACTCCACAGTACAACAAGGAGTTTCGAGGAGTAAATCCTTACAAATGGCTAAGGATTTCCCCCTGCCCCCTTGTTTCGCATTCTCCACAGAGCTTCACAGTCTCTTAGAGCCAGACTCCTGAACTCTGTTGAGTTCTGTCCTCAAAGCTTCCCCATGTCCCCTGTGGGGGCTCCAGCTGCAGGGTTTGGTTTTTTTTTTTAATTTTTTTTTGGTGGGGACCTAGTTTTACAGCACAGCTCAATGCAGAGGGAGGTGGATAATTAAGCAGCGTTGGGACCCAATGCAACTTTTCCAAGGCCACAGTGCATGCTTGAAACAGGGCTTTGATGCTATCGTGTTACCTTCCTGCCCGTGCAGCCCCAGGAAGGAATGAACACCCCTGCCTGAAGAGACTGGAGTTTTCCTTTCAGAAACGTGTTTGCAGCTTTCCATGTGCAGTTCTTGCCATCTAGTGGCAGCAACATATTGTTGTACTGTTTGCCTCTTAAATCACACTTTCTAGGCATGGTGCAAAATAGTGCTGTAGGACTTTGCCATCAAGCAGCAAGGTCAAACGATCACTGCTGTGATGAAGCGCCAGGAGACTAGCTTTGTCTGAAATAGTCAGACTGGGGGAATTATCCACTGTCAAGTAAAACTACAGGAATGCTCAAAATCAGTGCTTTTCTGAAGCTTAATGGAGTTTGGAGTTACATGAGGAAATACTCCTCGTGATCCTGTGGATGCCTTGTTGCTGATGTGGGGGTGAATCCTGAAAGGTGACATTGAGGGACCTCTAAAATGAAAAGTCATATTTCAATGGGAGTGTTTGTTCCATCAGCACAATTAGGTATGCTGTGTCTCTGAAATGCAGCAGTTGTGTTGGGGATGCAGGTAGTTAAACCAGCTCCAGGACACTAGTGCCAAATTGCTTTAGAGGAATTTTACTCACTGAAAGAACTGCAGTCCTGCAGGTCTGTAGGGACGGCATGTGGCCACCTTCCTGAGCTTCCACCCACTTTTGAAGCAGGCTGAGTCTTATGAAATGACTTTGTCTTTATTGATGGCTTGTTCTAGCTCCTGAAGTGAAGCTATGAAAAATGTCTTTTCACATCCAGAAATTAGAGGCCTACTTTTGTTCACCCCACATATAAAGGATGCTACAGTCCCCCACAGTTTGCAAGTATGATAGAAATAATATCGATCCATATTACTGCTGAGGTACTGAGACCTAAAGCAACTACTAGCAATCTTCAGCATGGGTGGTAGCTGCCAAAAGGCCATAGCAGCTATGCCCCAGGTGCTTCGGGGTAGATGTTGCACACAGGAGTAGACATGACATAAAGTGTAGCTATTTGTGGCATGTTTCAGGCATGCTCTGATGTCTCGAGTAGTGACCTTGGAGTGATCCTTTATCTAAACAGCTTTACTGGAACTATACTCAGGAGCAATCTTGCAGAACAACACTAAAATGGCCTCCACTGAAGTACTCTCCAGTAGGTTATAATGTCTGAAGAGTGCTGTGCAGTGCACTTTGGTAAGCAGGCTTTTTTGACAATGCATTTTTCTTTGCTCCAAGGCAGACATTATTTCCCAAGATGTAGAAACACTCTGCAGAATACAGTCCAGTCAAAGGCAATAGAGCTCAAAGCAGCATTGCACTGGAGATGGAGAACTAAGGTAGATCTACATTCCATGGTATGATGGATTTCTTAGCATAATCAGATTATGATTCCATAACCATATTGCTCCCATAAGCAAGTGAGCTTGTTTAACAATATCTTCACCCTGTTCACTAGGATGTCATGAGGACAGTTCCTTAATCCCACCTCATTTGATGAGCATCTTACAGAGCTGTTTCCCCACTGAGCTCTCGTGGCTCACCTCTCCCTTGTGTGAAGCCTGCTAATTTGCTTTCCCCTATGGAAACCTCACAGATGGCTACTGCCCAATTAGTACACGGTTTCCAGATGTCTAGTTGATAGATGTTTGTTTAGCAAGCATCTGTGGTGATTTAGGGTGATCTCGCCTCCAGCTGCTTGCACTTGCCTTCCACTCGGAAGGAAAGAGGTTGCCTTTTGCCTCTGTGGTACGTGTGAGCATTCCCTGGTGGACTTTCCCTTTTAAAACGGTCGACTGGATTCTGCCTGAACCAGTTGAAGAAGTACTCCGCAAAACAATCCTCAGGCTTGAGGTAATAGCTCTAGATGGGGATATTTGCTGCTGTTGGCAAAAATTAACTTTTGCTTACACCCAGCTGTGGGATAGTAATTTTGACAGTGGGCCAGTAATCAGCAGCTGGAAGTGGAAAAGTCCTTCACCACTCCAGTTGAATCTGGGAGGTGTGAGTAGTCATAGCCCAAATGCTGCACACTATAAAGAAATAATGTCTTTTCCATGCTTCTTTTTGGGACAAGTGTTTTATTTCTAAAAATCTATTAGTGCAAGACAAGAACTTAAGCTGGATTTTAAGAAAGCTAGCAAAGAAAGAGAGAAAACAGCAATAGCAAAGATACCTTCAATGTGTATTTTATTATTGAGATAGTAATTTTTCATAGTCAAAGAATTAATGTGCTAATGCATAATGAGCCCAACAAAAATCAATGTTACATAATTACTCACAGAAATAGTCCCAGTAAGGAAGCCAAATTTCCTGATTATCGGCCCTGTTTTATTTACTGCAGGACATGGTTACATAGTGTGCCAAGCTGGGGGCAGAGCCTTCTTTATCTTTAAAGTGGTGTGATGTGATTAAGGAATTATGTTCTTTTACCTCCACCTTCTCTTTGGAAGTTTTCCCATCTGACTGAAGTGTTATTCTGTTGTATCAAAGCCTCTATGCATATGATGTTTAGATTTGGGGGATTTTTTTGCAATTAAATTTCAGCTTCTTCTCCTGTCCAAGGAAATTGGTTTACA